TCAGTAGTTGTGGCTCGGGGGCAGCTCTAGAGTGCAGGCTCAGTAGTTGTGGCACACGGGCTTAGTTGCTCCGTGGCATGTGGGATCTTCTTGGACCAGGGATCGAACCTGTGTCCCCTGCATTGGCAGGCGGATTCTTAACCCCTGCACCACCAGGGAAGTCCCTGAATCCATACTCTTTAAGTCAAGTTTGCAAGCATTTACCATGGGATAAAATTGATTTCATGTAACACTTGGTCAGTTGGGCTTTGATTAGTAAGCTAGAGCTCATGAAGAATTTTTAATTATATTTTCCTTCATTTGAATAAACAGTAAGAGGAATCTTAATTTTTGAGAGCATAAGTAAGAAATTTTATCATGATCAGGCAGTTGCAGATGAATATTTTGGAAGATTCATTTCTGGGGAAAGAAATCCATTTCTGATTTGCTTTTAATTCTGGACTAGAGGTGATTAACCTAGCAGCATACAGGATACTAAGATGTTCTTTAGTTTATGAACTTATTTGTAGTTACCAATTGTACCATAATAACTGTAATTTTTTTAAGCAGTCACTTTTTGCTTTCCAGGAAACCTTTGTGACTTTGGCATTTACCTTATTTCTGCCTAATGTTTTATAGGAATAATCCTGTGAGTTATTTTCAACCATTTAAATTCTGTAGGTGTTAAATATTCAGATTGTGGGATTATGTATGCATCTTGATTCTTATTTACATTCTGCTTTTTGAACTGTGTTGTGTCTTATTTACACCTCCGCCATAGTGCCTGAGGAAGAATGAAGAGAAACATAATCAGTTTCCTTATTAACAGCTTTTCTGAAGTTTTATGTTTAAACTTGGATGGAAGGCATGGAGCTGGCTGATTCTTTGACTTTTATCCTAACCTTTCTCTCATGAATGCAATGGATAAATGACTCTAATGTCTTTCTTCTCAGGTGAATTAAATTGTGACTTTGTTAAAGTGTAATAATTAGGCTTGCCTACTTTATTAAGGTACCACCCTTCCTAGAAATGACTTCCTTCCCCTTACTCTCTCAAAACTGCTTCCTGCGAAAACTTGCAGTCACCATTAGGAGAAACTAACTTGTCACTTAGAAAATAGTCTTGTTCAAGGGACAGTTGAGAGCTATGCTACAATGTATGATTTAGACAAATTTCATTAATAATGTGTTGTTAATTTTAACAGATTTATAATTATATAGGAAAAAAAGATAAGGACCCAAACAAAGCTCCCTTTCCTTCCACATTAGTTTGTATACTAACACAGGGCTGATTGTTGTTGTACAAAAAACTACATGCCTCTTTTCTGTAGAAAAACCTGATTTGAACAAAAATTCTTACTCTTAAATGGTTGTTACCGTGCTGAGGCTGACAGTGAAGAGCTGGGTCCCGGACAGAGTCAATAAAAGCCATGCTTCCCCCCTCTTTTTAAAAAGTCAGATTATATTTGTATTCCTTGACAACCACCTAATGTTAGTATTTATCCTTGTTTAAGATTTACATTTGAAGTAAAAATTCGTCAGTGGGAAAACATAAATTTCAGCTTTCTCACAGAGAAAGGAGTTCTATAGCTTGTATACAAGTATTTGTTTGTTTTTAAATATTAGCAGGTTTTTCTTACTAAGAGCTTAGAAAATTACAAGCAGTTCTGATTTTTGTAACAAGCATTAAAGAGGAACTTGCTAAACAAAATAAACTCTTTGTTGACTTTTGTAATTTAGAAGAATAGGAGTTAATTTGTTAACGTTTGGGTTTCGTCTCCATAGCTTATGAGCTGTGTGATGTTGGGTGAGGCACTTAATCCTTCAGTATGTCTGTAAAATAGGGATAATACTACTAGTGCTTGCCTCATTGGAGTTGCTAGTAGCTAAGTAGCTGTTAGTAGATAACTTAGTGTAGGTGTGTAGCATGGTGCCTAGCAGATAGTGAGCAAGGAAGTGTCAACTGACTGCTTTTAGTATTAGCATCATCTTTGAAGAAAGATCTAACTTTTTTCTTACTTGGTAATAAATGTGTTAGTGTGAAAAATTATGTAAACCTAAGATTAATTTGGGAAGAAGAGTCAAATAACTGTGTTCTTTTAATAAAAAAAATTCATTGCTTTTGAACATGGCAGGTGTTTTTTTTTTGAATCTGTAGTTGTGGTGAAGTAATGAACGCAAATTTACCTGGCTTATCTTTGCATACATAATTATATAAAATGGGAATCCTTCTAAAGACTTCTAAAGACTGTCAGATCTGTGTTTTAAGGAATACTTTTCATAAGCCTATTTTGATACTAAAATCTATCACATTTACATGGTATTAAACTTTCAGGAAATGCTAACACAGTTTGGTCTCTCTGGAGTTGTATGATATAATTTATTTTTATTCTGAACATTCTTAAACTTTATGATCTAATGTTATAAACTTGATTATATTTGCAGTGTCATATGCCTGCCTAGCACAGGAACGCACCTAGCATGTTCCTGCCCCTACAGGCTTTGTACTTTGTGCTCCTTTTGCCTAGAATCCTTCCTCCCTGATTGTGGCCCAACCGTGGGGCCCTCACGCCAGTCAGGGCTCTGCAAAAGGGTCATCTGCTTTTGAGAGATGTTCTCTTTCTATCTAAATGTCACTCTCCATTCTTACCATTTTTTTCCCTCACTATCAAGCATTATATTATCCACTCTTGTTTATTTTTTCAAATCAATTTCCCATTAGAATAAAAGCTGAGGGCAGCAGTAAACTTTGTTTACTGCTGATTCTCACTCTGTATGATATAGTACAGAACCTGGCATATTATAAGTATTAATAAATACTTTTAAAGTGAATGAATCAATGGCGTTGATCAAATCAAAAGTTTTATTATGTAGATGGGGAGAAAGAATTCATGAACTCAATTTTTAATAATTATTTTCTGTGAGTTATTTTAAGGTATTTATGGTCATAACAAAATAACCATTTAAATAGATGAGATTTATTCCCCTTCCCCACCCCACAAAAAAGAAAAAAACAGGATTTAAATTTAGAGTACTTGGTACATAGTAGGAATTGTCAATCAGGAGGCCCAATTCAGAACACCAGCTCAGTTTATAATAGCAGTGAAACTGCACATTAAACTGCTCTGGGTTCATTTTCTTATCTTGTTTTCTTTCTAGGATCTAACCCAGTGCCTGGTACATAGTTAAGGTAGTCAGTAAATGTTGCTTAGGTGAGTGAATGAACCTATAAAATGAGTAAAATCATGAACTAGTTTCTAGTTTCCCAAAGAGCCTCCTAATGATCCTTGAACTAGAGCTTCTGGAATAAAATGGATCAAAGATGTTTGGAAAACACTCTTCTGTTGATTCTGAAACCTGAGTGCAACATCAGAATTACTTGGAGGGCTTGTAAATTGCAGTCTGTTAGGTTCACTCTCCCCACCTCCTTGTTTGCGGTAGGGCAGTGAATTTCTTAACAAGCTCTGAGGTGTTAGAGGTGATGCTGGTTCTGCTAAGACCACACTTCCACAACCCCTGCTGTATCTGTAATCCTGTTGAGGTGCCTCACGCTGGTGCATTGTAAGTTTTGAGAAGCACTATGGTAGGGGAAGCTGTTTAATTCTTAACACAGTGTTTCTAAAACTTCCTTGACCAGAGTACTCCTCCCTTGTATGTATGTGTATATATGTGTGTGTCGGTTTATCAATGATCATCCATCTATAACACTATACACAATGCCTATTAACATCCTTGGAACTGTTGTTCTGTGGGCCATACTTAGAAACAGAACCAGGTCACATCTGCAGTATTTTCCACATATAAAATGATGATTTTTTTTTTTTCATGCTTGGGTAGGTGAATTCTTAATTGTGTTAGGAGTGCAGCCTTCAGTATTGAACCCCATTGCAGAGTTGGATGGTGATATGATATTCATGATCTGCATGGAAACATTTATATACATTTTTGATTCTTGCTGACATAAATTTAGAATAAATGTAGGGATGTATAGCAAGAACAATTTCATGAAAATTAAACCAAAATGATGAAATTATTTATTTCTCAGTACCTTTTATATCTTTCAGTCATATTTCTCTTCTGTTATAGTTGGTTTAAATCTGTCAAACCCATTTTCAGGACTTCAGGATATGGCAATATTAGGAAATAATTTTAGAAAACTCATGAGAGTCGAGTTTTCTCTAAATAAAGATTGTCTCAGCTAGTGTCTCCTTTTCCCTAGTAGTATTTGGAAGTTTAGGCTAATTTTGTCTCATGGTTCTGTCTACTTTGTATGTAGATTTTGTTGATTTAGCTTCGTTTTTTTTTTTGGCTGCATCGGGTCTTCGTTGCTGTGTGTGGGCTTTCTCTAGTTGCTGCGAGGGGGAGGGGTTACTCTTCTTGCGGTGCACAGGCTTCTCATTGAGGTGGCTTCTCTTGTTGCGGAGCACAGGCTCTAGGCGCATGGGCTTCAGTAGTTGTGGCTCACGGGCTCTAGAGCACAGCCTCAGTAGTTGTGGCACACTGGCCTAGTTGCTCCGTGGCATATGAGATCTTCCCGGACAAGGGCTTGAACCCATGTCCCTTGCATTGTCAGGCAGATTCTTAACCACTGCGCCACCAGGGAAGTCCCTAGCTTCTTTTTTTTTTTTTTTGCGGTACGCGGGCCTCTCACTGTTGTGGCCTCTCCCGTTGCGGAGCAACAGGCTCCGGATGCGCAGGCTCAGCGGCCATGGCTCATGGGCCTAGCTGCTCCGCGGCATGTGGGATCTTCCCGGACGGGGGCATGAACCCGTGTCCCCTGCATCGGCAAGCGGACTCTCAACCACTGCGCCACCAGGGAAGCCCCCCCAGCTTCGTTTTTAAATATGGTTGTACCTATTCCAGTCTACTGTCTTAAAGTAATGGATATGATAAAAGATTTGGTTAATTTATAGAAGGGAGGATATTTGTGGAAGGAGTGATGGTTACAGACTCCTTAGATGTTAAGTTTAGCAGAGAGAGTCTTCAAACTTGAACTTACTGGAGTGCTTTATGTTCCCCAAGGCTGTGGATCTTTCCATTGATGAGTCCAGCTTGACAGGAGAGACAACACCTTGTTCTAAGGTGACAGCTCCTCAGCCGGCTGCCACTAATGGAGATCTTGCATCAAGAAGTAACATTGCCTTCATGGGAACACTGGTCAGATGTGGCAAAGCAAAGGTAAATTTTCTTTCTCGATTTCAAGATAGCAGTTCCTTTGTTTTCAGCCATTTCCTCAGTTCTTTTTTGGCTAGTTTTATGTGGAGCTTTTAAAAATATATGGCGAAGAAATGGCAGAATTGAACCTAATCCTTGGCAGATATTTGTGAGACTAAGGAGAAGCCGTGTCCCTGAGTTATAATACATCCATAGTTCTGCCAATTACCAGGTAATGGATCCTGTAAAAGCATAGTCCTCAGTACCTGTTCTTTTCTTTTTTTTTGGCTTGTGGATATGTTCACCATTGGTTAAATAAAATTTCAATTTAGTTGATATGATACTGGCTATAATATTCAGACTACATATCACTCTCCTACTGATTGATTTCAAATATTTTATTTCCTGGATTTTAATATTACACAAATGTAAAAGGCATCATTCAATAGCATTTGAGAGGGAAACTACATTAAATGTCTCTACTGAGTATAAGAAAGGTTCAAATTTCAGAAATATTAACATAGACAAAAAAATGGGCCACAGAATTGAGTCAGTAATAAGTTTAATGAGATGTTTGTTTTCAAGGATCTGTAGTAACATCAAAAGTAAATTTGCTGAGGGAACCTTGGATAGATACGTATGTCAGACATCTTGACTGTGGGTGGCTTTGGAGAAAGGGAATGAAGGGGTTTTGTTCTTTGGTTGAGAGAGGTGATTCCATCTGAATGTAAATATGTTTTCTTGTTTTTCCCTTTAGGGTATTGTCATTGGAACAGGAGAAAATTCTGAATTTGGAGAGGTTTTTAAAATGATGCAGGCAGAGGAAGTGAGTAACAAACTTAGTTTGTTAATGATGTTTGAGTTTCAAATCCGAAATATTTTCCATTGTAAGTAGAGGAAAAGAGAATATTGGAGGATTATTTTGTTAATTTTGGAAGTAATATTTTATTCAGAATATTACTCAGTTGTCTGTGCTTAAAATCATAAGTGGAAAGCCTGTAATTGGAAGGGTTTGAATTAACACTTTAATATTTGAAATATTCTGATGTTTATTCATTGTTCATAGGAGAAGGTTTAGCCAGTTATTTATAAGCCTTATTATTTTTAGAAATTAGCTTTATCATATTAAATTTAAAGATTACTAAATAGTATATTTGTACTTTAGAACATGTCTTCTACCAAAATTCCCAACTTTACATAATTACAAGTATCTGGAGAAAAAAAGATTGCAAAGTGAAATAACTTGGAAGATACCCTTGTTGAAGGATATTGAAGATTAGTTCTCTCATTTAAAATATCTTCTTATATTTAAAAAAGAAGTTGCATTCTACAAATATCATTTTCTTCTCAAATTATCTGGATTTCTCAGGTAGCTTGCTAAGACTCCCATATGTGATGCAGTGTGTAAAACCGTCCCAAGCTTGGGGGTGAAGGGATCGCCAGAGCCCTGAAGGGAGCCAACAGGGTAAAAAGACTTGGGTTACAAGCATCTTTGTAAGGAGAAAGAGTAGCAAAATGAGGGGCAGCTGATGATAATGAAGTCCCGGGGAAACTGCTAGGGAGAATAGATTTTTCCTCAAAGAGGCATAGAGAGCACGGACCTTTTCAAATAAACGGGTTTTTAACAGTCTGGGCCTCACAGTTTTCTCAGTGAAGGAGCTAAAACTTACCTCAAGGGAGAGTCGTGTATGTCATGGGTGTGTTAAGCACGAGCATGTGTGTGTCAAACACTTAGAGTCCCTGGCACCTAGTAAAGCTCACTAAATTTAGGTAATTGGGTAATTGTGGTGACACTCTTCTCCAATTTGTCAAGGCACCAAAAACCCCTCTGCAGAAGAGCATGGACCTCTTAGGAAAACAACTTTCCTTTTACTCCTTTGGTATAATAGGTAAGAGAAGAGTGAGTATGTATATCTCCTATATTTACTTAGGTTTATTTTTTGAGTGGGAAGGGGGAGTTAGATCCATACATAGAAAAATTCCATTCATTCATTCATTTATTCAGCTACTATTACTTTTTTTAAACTATAAAACTAATCCCCAGCTGTTGTCCTTTTCTACAAAGATAAAATAGAACTCTGTAATTCCTGTAATCAAAGAGCATTTCTATAAACATTTTAGTATTTGTCTTTCTAGTCTTCAATAAAATATGATAGTATTGTGTTATGACTACTCTTCTAAAACAAACTTAAAGGTTGTATAGTATTCCATTGTGTGAATATGTGTGTGTATACATATATAAAAAGCCAGTGCTCTTTTAGACATTTGTGTAGGTTTTTAAAGTTTTAAAAAATTGTGTAAGTGATTCTTCAGTGCAGGTATCTTATTATAAACACCTCTCATTTCCTTAGGATAAATTCCTGAAAGTGAAATTATTGGGTCAAAGAGTATCTGTGTGATTTAAAAATTTTTGGCATGTTTTTAAAGGCTTTTGTTTCATATTGCCAAATAATATCCTCCATCAACAAGATAGAAGTCTCTCTTCCAGCACCCTTGCCAGCTTTTTTGTCACTAACTTAATAGGTGAAGAAAAGTCTTCTCATTATTTTATTTCAAAATTCATTATTCGAGAAACAGAACACTTTGTCATATGTATGTTAGTCCTTTTTATTTTATGACCTGCTGGTTTATTTCTTTTGTCCCTCTTCTTTTGTGGCATAAGTCTTAGATTGGTCACAGCTCTTTGTATAATTAGGATATTAATCCTTTTGTTGTTTAAGTTACAAGTATTGTTTTCTCCTGATTTTTAAATTGCTTTTGAGGGCTGTATAATAAACTTGGTAGGGAGGGGAGAGATGTGTGTAATGAAACAACCTCTTGCCTGAGATTCTTATCACCCTCCTGTTGATGATTAGTGCAGTTACGTTTCTGTCTGTGTTCTATTCATAAAGGCTCCCCCAACCCCATATGGGAGAATGTTTTTTGTTTATAGTTATTTAAACATCACTATACTACTTTAGTTTTTACTTTTGACACTTAATTTTTCTATTTTATTTAGAATTTATTTTAGTATAAGACTTAAGGTAGAGTTATTACTTTGTTACTCAAAAGTTAGTTATCCTAGTACCATCAATTCCATAGTCCATTCTTAATTCACTGAGTTGACACAACATCTTTATCATAACATTAAACACATCAATTTTGGAGTCTTTTCTCTGTTTCTTTCTTTCTTTTTTTTTTTAAAGAGAAAAGTAAAATGTTTTCTGGAAAAGCAGAGCACATGCGGAAAGATGCATGGATGAACTCTGCGAGAGAGTCCTTCTCTGTTTAATTCTTCCATATGTTATTTTAATTTTTCCTGCTAGCTTTTAAGATAACAATGCAATTTTAAGACAACATTTCTGCTGTACAGTTTCAGTGAAATAACTTCTTAAATATTAATCCTCTTGATCCATTTCTCATTATCATAAACATAAAGTAGAAGCTGGGAAGGTATTTCATTCTTTTTGTTTAGATGGTGTGTATGTTCTCATAGCTCCCTTCATTTGGTTATTGCTGTTTATTTTTTAGAATTTATAGTGAATTTGGTAAATTGAAGGGCAATTTAACCAATTAAATCTTTCCAGTTTATATTAACATTGTATCATTAAACCACGTCAAATTTAGTGATAAAAATTTTTCAACTTTATGGTTACCTGGTTTTAAATGCATTGGACATAATTTTTCTTGTTAGGATAGTGTATGGAATAGGAGAAGGATCAAGATCAAAATCAAGGGTCAGCAGACTTTTTGGTAAAGCACCAGATAGTAAATGTTTCAGCCTTTGGTTTGTACGTTCTGTGTTGGAAATACTCAACTTTGCCATCAGCACAAAAGCAACCACAGACAATTTACAAACAATGGGTGTGGCTGTGTTCCAACAAACTATTTACAAAAACACATAAGAGGGCCATAGATTGTATAGTTTGCTGGACTCTGGTATAATTCACTGGACAGATTTGTTTTATCAAGATAGTATTTGGGATGGGATCTGGATCATTATTTTGTAGTTGCAGAAAGATGAAGAAAACCTTGTTTTCAATATCCATATTGATCTAGAATACAGTCTCGAAGTTATTTTATTAAAACTCTGATACAGTGTTTTTCCTCACAAAACCAGTGGTACATCCCTTGCGCCCCCCCCTTCTTTTCAAAGATAAAGATTAAAGAAGAGAGTAAAGAATCAGCTGTTTGGTTTATGTTAATTCATTTTTAACTTTTAAACACTGTAAAGGTCATAATTTTTAAATGTTAATTGCAGTTTTGGCTGTCTTATAATGTCTTATATCATTCGTTGAGCCAAGTCCTAAGTACTCCTTGGTTTGTAGTACAAACTTAATGTGCAGTGTCTGGATATTGAGTTATGAGAAGTAAAGTTCCAGGGTTTATTTTTGCGAACCTCATAGTTAAGAGAAAACCTATATGTATATGCTGCCTTCTTTTTTTCCCCCTCTTATATTGGGAACTCTCAGATATTATTACTTTAAGGGATGGGCGGCAGCAGTGGCAACAAAAGGTAAAACTGTAGGTGTGTGCATGCATACACAGTTTTAACCTTAAGATTAATTTAATCTCACCTGCTTAATGGATTCTTGTAAAATCTTATAATTGTGATCTGATAAACTTTCCCTTTTATATCAAGGGACTTTTGCTGCCCTCAGCTTTCTGTTCTATCCCTTCTATGCCCAGGTGATTTTATATAAAAGGGAAAAATAGCTGTTTGATTCTGTTACAGGTATCATCATGTTGGTTGGCTGGTTACTAGGAAAAGATATCCTGGAAATGTTTACTATTAGTGTAAGGTAAGTTCTGATAGTTTGTTTATAATTTGAAGTCTCTTTTGCCTCTCTTATTTCTTTGTTAGTCATAGCTTATGTTCCATTATGGAGGTATTATACGAGCACATAAGAGTATATTAACTCTACTTAAATAGTTAAGAATTCATATGTTGAAATGAGCTCCAGGAAAATGAAAACCTATGTATATGCAGTGGAGAAACCCCACACTACATGTCTGGTATTATCAATCCAATATTGCTTTTTTATACTTATATAGACAATTAAGGATTGCCAAACTGAAAACTAGGAGCATGAGAGAGAAAGACCACAATATAGAAATTGAATAATCCATCTCAGAGGAAAACCAAATATGCAAGAATTGACGAAAAATTAAAAATAAACAGAAAGCCTTTATATTTTCAGAGATTTGTGAAGAAACTGCATTCATGATAGGCAGATTGCTGTAGAAAAGGATCACAGAACCAAAATATATTTTTTTAAGATATTAAGGTTATGATTGCTGAAATTAAAGATTCAGTTTAAAGGCTATGATATAAAGTCAAAGTGGTCTCCCCAAAAATAGAGTAAAAAGTCTAAAACAGAGAATGAGATAAAAGTGACAAAGAATAATTCAGTAAATGCCATATCTAAGTAATAGAAGATTTAAAAAGAGGTAAGAAGAAATTATACAAGAAATGAAGCGAGACATGAATCTTTATAGATTGAAAGGATTCTCCAAATGCCAAGCAGGACAAAAAAACCTCCAACCCAGATACATCATTGTGAGACTAAAGAAAACAGGTCAGGTCATCTGTACAGGAAGGAAAATTAGACTGGTATCATACTTCTCATTAGCAACTACAATTTCCACCACAGGCTCTTTTTAGGCTCTACTAAGATTTTCAACTCATGAGACTTTCATAGGTCATACTTGGTACCTGTGTCCTGAGCACCACAGGGCAACGTCCTCTTCTGAGAGAGTTGCTACAGCAGTCCCTGTAGCAGTTCAGCTTACGTACAAGCAGATGAGATGACCATGTAAGGGCAGGAGCTGTCCTGGGTTAAAATACCTCATAATCCACAGGAGCCAGCATCTCTGGAAACGTACACTTTCCAGGATGCCTGCAAGAAACATGCCCAGTTATGAGAGTCGCCACACTCAGGAAACCCAAAGCTGTAGCTTCCTGTAAGATAATTATAATTCTCCCAGTCCATGGATAATTTATCGGTCAGGAGATCCTTTTATCATAAGCAGTGTTGCCTAGCAACATAGTTGCTATACTGTCATCACTAAGGGAACAGAGCTAGAGATTTATTTAACTAAATACAGAAGGGAAAAAGGATTTTATTAAACCTTCATCCACAGCAACATTGGATTAAATTAGAAGACAGTGGGGCAGTACAATTAAAGTATGGGGGGAAATGATTTTAAATCTATAAATCTAGGTCTAGCCAAAGTATCAATTTAGGTAATTACAAATGGATAAGCAAGTAACCAAAAAATTTATCCCTTACCTATTCTTGTATGAATTCCAGCAAAACAAGGGTGAAAGAAAGGAAGATGATGTTGTGTAGGGTGTAAGAAAAAGTGGAACTCACCTAGTCCTCTAAGGAAAAGAAATCCTGGATGACAGCTTTGTAATAGGCCTAGCAAGTAATAGTTCAAGTTTCAGAATAAAAACCAATGGATTAAAAAAAAAGTCAAGTGGAGTGCAAGGAATAAGTAGGATGAATAAGAAGTTAAAAGGTATTTGTGATATAGTGAAGGACTATAGTTTTTCCTTGGAGGAGCAAAAATACAACTTGAAACTCTTGGCTTAAATATGTGTAAAGGAGCCTTGGGTTAAATATGAAATGAATTTAAAATGGGGCATGAATTTTATTAACCATTGGCATATTATTATCTATTGGACTCATGTTTTTGAGTATTTTTTTTTGGAGCAGTTCTGACTATTTGTGAAGATTAATACCTCATGACTTTTATTCCTACCTCAGGATCTTCCAAAGGACCAAACATTTAGGAATTTTTAAATAAAATAAAACTCATTCTATTTTGCAATAACCATATGGGTCTACTGTACGTTTATATGTGCTAAAATACATGTGGGATCTTTAGTGAACTTATTTTTCCTGCGTGTTGAAACATCTTGGCTGTTTTATTCCCCTAGCAAGTATTTTAACAATTATTTCCACCTGTGCTAAAAATGAGTAAAACAATGAGAAAGCAGAAGGATAAGTAGCTTATAAGGCTACTCTAATAATAAATAAATCGTTATTATTCTGTTATCCTTTAATTTTCTTATTATGTTGCCCAAAGCATTACATTATCATTTTAAAAGGTATAAGAAAAGTCTGGAGACAAAATCTTGGTAGTTTTTTTTTTGTTTTTTTGCATTCATTAAACAAAATTGAGAAATTCAGAATTTTTAATTTTTTTTTACCATAATGGCAAAGAAGAATTGACAGAAGAATTTTCATAATTATTAGACAAACCAGAAGATGACTGCAAAGAGACAACCACTGTAGGCTCTAATGATGAAGGTGAAATTGAATCATATAAGTATAATCTCAACACTGAATGCTTGGATGATGGTACTCTAGATTTTCTCAAACTCCTGAATTTTAATGAGTGAACTGGGTTTTTATTTTTATTTTTTTGCCTGTGCTGTATGGCTTGTGGGATCTTAGTTCCCTGACCAGGGATTGAGCCCTGGCCTTTGGCAGTGAAAGCGCTGAGTCCTAACCAGTGGACTGCCAGGGAATTCCCTGAACTGTTTATTTTTAAGAATGAAAGGGGAAGGACAGGCATTCTCTTATAGTTAGTCATTCTACAGCAAGGAATTTGTCATGCAGTATTGTATTACTGAGAAGATGACTGTCCTAAAAGTTATGGACCATTAACATTTCCAGAAGTGTTGCATTTTGAAGAGACAAATGCAAAAAGAAGAACCAGAATTGATAAAGCTAAAACTTGTTAGAAATGGTTTTTGAATTTGAAATCACTGTTTTAAAAGGTGAATATGTTCCAGGTTTATTCATGACAGTTGAGCAGTTTGCATTCAAAGGGCGTTGTCCATTCAGATATATATACTTTCAAATCCAGGAATATAGTTTGGGGTTAAAATTCAAATGAAAATTTCTGTTGAAGTTTTTCACAATCCATTTTATTCCTCTGTAAATTATTTATAAAATGATTTAAATGTAAAGGTCCATTGGATCTAGATTATATTGTAGAAACTGGGCAGTAGAGGGAGTTCAGGGAGCATTGTTAGAATGAAGGATAGGCATGCACCTGTCCTTATCTGTAGCAGAATCAGGAGATATGGAATGGGTCAAAAGTAGAGATTTAATTTGAGGTGGTTTTTCTTTTTTAGTATTACGAAGGGAAATAGTGAAGTAATTAATTTTTTTGTTGTGATAAAATGCACATACCATAAAATTTTCCATTTTAAAGTATACGGTTCAGTGAAGTTAAATACATTCATAATGTTACCACCATCACCACCATCTAGTGTCAGAACTTTCTCATCACCCCCAAAAGAAAACCCTGGGCCCATTTTCAGTCATTCCCCATTCTTCCCTCTCCCTACCAGCTGGCGACCACTAAACTGCTTTTTGTCTCTTTGGATCTGCTTATTCTTGATATCTCATGTAAGTGAAATCATGCAACATGTGTCCTGCTGCTTTCAGTTAGCATGATGTTTTCAAGGTTTTTCCATTCGTAGCATGAATCAGTACTTCATTCTTTTTTATGGCTGAATAGTACTCCCTTGTATGGGCACACCACAGTTTCCCAATCATCAGTTGATGAAAATTTGGGCTCTTTCCATCTTTTGGCTATTGTGAATAATGCTGCTATGAACATTCATGTACAAGCTTTTGTCTGAACACCTGTTATTATCTATATTTATAGATGAGAAACTAAACTACAGGGGTGGAGGCATAATAGCTTGAGGTCACACAGGTGAAAATTGAAGCTGGGGGTACAAATCTAGGCAGTCTGATGTCAGAACCTATATTCTTTAACCACTGTGCTTAACCTGGTAGCTAGTAGGTGTCCAATAAATGTTAATCAGTTTTCCCTCATTTTGAGACCTTTTTTGGGTTTGACAACAACAATTTTACATTTTTAACCTCTGCTTTAAGTAACAGCCAATTGAAATTATTGCTATGGGTACTACTGAATTTATACTTCAGTGCTATATCTTTACTGGTTACAGTTTGGCTGTAGCAGCAATTCCTGAAGGTCTTCCCATTGTGGTCACAGTGACTCTAGCCCTTGGTGTTATGAGAATGGTGAAGAAAAGGGCCATTGTGAAAAAACTACCTATTGTTGAAACTCTGGGTAAGTCTCTGGTTAGAGCATGCTTATTGATTGACATGATAGTTTACATCAACAGGGGTCTTTGGGTTTTACAGTTTTTGTCTTAGAGCAGTCCCCAGCCTTTTTGGCACCAGGGACCAGTTTCACGGAAGACAGCTTTTCCATAGACGGGGGGAGGTTGGTGGTGGTTCAGGCGGTAACGCGAGCGATGGGAAGCGATGAAGAGCAGCAGATGAAGCTTCGCTCGTTCACCCGCTGCTCACCTCCTGCTGTGCAGCCCCGTTCTTAACAGGCCCTGGACCGGTACTGGTCTGTGGCCCGGGGGTTGGGGACCCCTGTCTTAGAGGTTTACATGGTGGTGTTTGGCTTGTCGCAATGTTGAGTATGGTTTTAACAACCAAAAAAGGTCATTAAAAATTCATATTACTCGGGTCGGGGAGCTTTAAATCTTTCTGCATCATAGACTGTTCTAATGCTTAAATCATGTAAAAAAAAAGTAACAAATGAAACCATAGAGTGACAGAGAAATGTTTTCTTTTGACATCTCAAGGAAGATAATTGATAATTATAGATCCTAAAATGTCATTCTTGAGTTGAATTTATTAAGAACAGTAAGCATACAGTAATTATATTGCTGTAACAATTTCATGTGTGATATGAAAATTGTGGTAACTTTATGTATGTTATGAAACTTCTTTTTATTTAGGAATTCAGAAATGTTGAATTTAACTTCTAGTTCGCATTTTAATATTGAGAAGGCAAAAATTCCTTAAAATAATGGCTGAAAAAATTATATGGGTTTATATTATATGGGTTTTTATTAAGGTAACCTTGAAACTTTCTAGAAAATGTCACTACTTTTCACTACATGAAAAGTCACTACATAAAGCTATTATCAAGTAGCTTTGTAGAAATTCAACTGGAAATAAAGAAAAAGTCAGCATTTATCAGTATCTAATTAAAACTGTTCATACCTCATGATGAAGTAAGCACAGGAGAGAAAACAACCTAAAATTATCCATGAGCTTGATTTGTACAAAATTTCATAGAAGCAGGGCAGGCTTTCAGAGTCTTTGATTTATTTTTAATGTGAACTTGTATTTTTCCCTGACTCTTGGTGACTTGTAGTGATTTATTCTTTAGGCTGCTGTAATGTGATTTGTTCAGATAAAACTGGGACCCTGACAAAGAATGAAATGACTGTTACCCACGTATTTACTTCGGATGGCCTGCGTGCTGAGGTACTCTGTAGACTTTTTTTTTTTTTTTAACAGCAGAATTCCCTTTCAGAAGTTTTGGTGTTTAGCGTTCCTAACCATTCTAGTGTCTTTAGAAGGGCTGCAAGTTAGCAGCTGAACTTTTCTGTCCCGTGTGATTCTCCCAAGTCTTGATCCCGCTCCAGTTGTGCAGTCCAGAAACATTGATCCCCCTCGACACCTCTCCTTCTGTCTCCCCTACATCCATCTATTACCAGACTCTGGATGCCTAAATGAAGATGTTTCAGTGGCTTCGCATTGTGACCAGGGTCCTGAAACGGGGCTGCTCACAGTCCTACGTGTTCTGTTGCTTGTTTCCTTCCTCACCCTGTATCTCTCCTTTGCTCGCCATACACCAAATACATTGACTTTATGGTTCTTTCAGTGTGACAAAATTCCTCCTACTGAAGGACCTTTGTTGCTGTTGTCACTACTTAGGACAGTCTAATGCCTCTTCAACCTTTGCACCTCATTTCCAACCCATTTCTTCAGAAAAGCTTTGCTGACCACCCAGAACTCACCCTGTGTTACACCTTTTCATAGTTCCATACCTCTTAGTTCAGGTGAAATCCTCTGTCTCTCTTCCCATGTAAGTATTGGGTTGGCCAAAAAGTGCCTTTGGTTATTAAGTAAAAATAAAAGACACATTTTTCATTTTCACCAAGAACTTTATTGAACAACGTATTCACCCTTTTGCTCCACTACCTTCTGCCATTTTTCAGGCAACTTCATAATTCCATCTTCCCAAAACTTTTTATCTTTTTGAGCAAAGAACTGTCCCAGGTGCCTTTTACAGTCTTCCAGGGAATTGAGATTTTTTCCATTAATATAATTTTGTAAAGACCTTAATAAATGGAAATCCGAAGGTGCAATGTCTGGTGAATATGGCGAATGAATCAGAACTTCCCAGCCAAGCTGTAACAGTTTTTGCCTGGTCATCAAAGAAACATGAGGTCTTGCATTATCCTGATGGAAGATTATGCGTTTTCTGTTGACTAATTCTGGACACTTTTCGTCAAGTGCTGCTCTCAGTTGGTCTAATTGGGAGCAGTACTTGTTGGAATTAATCGTTTGGTTTTCCGGAAGGAGCTCATGGTAGAGGACTCCCTTCCAATCCCACCATATATACAACATCACTTTCTTTGGATGAAGCGGCCTTTGGTGTGGTTGGTGGTGGTTCATTTCACTTGCCCCACAATCTCTTCCATTCCACCCTGTTGTACAGTATCCACTTTTTGTTGCCTGTCACAGTTTGTTTTAAAAACGAAACATTTTCATTATAAGTAGAGAATCACCTGTGAAAATACGGTCAAGAAGATTTTTTTTCGCTTAACCTGTGTGGAACCCAAACATCAAAGCAATCAACATAACCAAGCTGGTGCAAATGATTTTCAACGCTTGACTTGGATGTTTTGAGTATGTCGGCTATCTCCCGCGTGGTATAATGTTGATTGTTCTCAATTAATGTCTCGATTTGATCACTATCAACTTCAACTGGTCTACCCGACCGTGGAGCATCGTCCAGCGAAAAATCTCCAGCACGAAATTTTGCACACCACTTTTGACATGTTCAATCAGTCACAGCACCTTCTCCATACACTGCACAAATTTTTTTTTGCATTTCGGTTGCGCTTTTACCTTTCTTGAAATAATAAAGCATGATATACTGAAAATGTTGCTTTTTTCCTTCAATCTTCAGTATTAAAATGGCTACACAAAAATTCACCAATTTTAATAAGCCTTATTTTAAATGCACACTGGTATAACAGCTGTCACGTACAGTCTAACAAAATTGTATTGAATGAAGTTAAAGACAACTAAGTGCTACTAGAGCCATCTTAGGGAAAAAACTGAATGACCCTTTCGGCCAACCCAATATAATAGAGCAGGATCTCTGTTGCCCAGCACAGGGTCTGCCTCATACTAGTAAATACTTTCCGAAAGAATAAATGAATGGATGAATTAATCTACTTTAAAAATTATACATTGGCAGCCCCTGAAGTGCATGTCAGTGTATGTGCACACGTTCCAATCTCTGGATTGGTATTGGACCTTGTGGGATTTCTGGCTGGAATTTTCAGTAACACTGTTGATGATGGGAACAGTATTTTAAAATGTATTTATAGCCAATTGTCTGAGCAAAGGAAGCATTTCACAAATTGACAGAAGTTGTGCTTAAGTCTATTTAATTCCATTTTACTAGGTCTTAAAATGAGACTATTGATATTTACGGTGTTAGATTTGGTTAAGGATACCCAGTGCTATGTTGAATGTGCCTTTTCTGGATGACTCAGAAGGGTCATTGGGGTTACATGTGCTTATATTATATGGTCCCGGTATGAAAGGTGAGATATAGGTTTCTCTTTTGTTTTAAGCCCATAATTTTATATGTCAAACATTAACAATGTTAATTCCTCTAAACTGTCCTATTTTTATTGTGATATTTAACTTTTCTTTGGCTTGATTTGTTTTAGCTGTATAGGATAAGTATCTGACTTGTCTCTGATTTTAAAAATTTGCATGTAATATATACTATGTTAAAGTAGTTTGTAAGTGCTAGGGTAAATCACTTGTCTATGAGCCTGCATATTTGCAAAAAGAATTCTACTTTTGTCTAGGTCACAGGTTTGTCATGAATGTTAGATGTGGTAATAGATTTGAATTCTTTGCAAATTGTAGTGTTACATAAATGTAATGTTATATAAATTTAAGCTCACTCTTATATAGAGATTTTCATGGTTTATTTATCCTTTCTATAGTATATTGTAAGTAGAGGAAATATAAGGTTATATTAATTATATTAACAATTACGTGTTTCTATTTACAATATACTATGCATTATAATGATTAATTAGCATAATTAGTAGTTAATTATTAGTATAATTAACTGTAGGTTTACCATTGTGGTGAAAATTACTATCTATATTCTTTTATTAATGTTGCTTCAGACAAATTTAAATGCTTTTCTAGGTGTACGCACTAACAGTGTCATGATGTATAAAATGAAATGAACGCAACTCATAGCTTTTGGTTTTCCTAAGTATTGTCACTGTCTGCTGGTATTATTGACTCTACGTTCCTTAGGTTACTGGAGTTGGCTACAATCCATTTGGGGAAGTGATTGTTGATGGTGATGTTGTTCATGGATTCTATAACCCATCTGTTAGCAGAATTGTCGAGGTAAATATTGCATTCTCTAAGAAAGTGGCTCTCTTCATAATGACTTAGGATGCAGTGATGGGTTCATAGTTTATGTGTATTTCTCTTAGGCGGGCTGTGTGTGCAATGATGCTGTAATTAGAAACAACACTCTAATGGGGAAACCAACAGAAGGAGCCTTAATTGCTCTTGCAATGAAGGTATGTGCCTGGTCTCTTTTCTTTGACATGCGAAAATATCACCCTCACAAGAGAATGTGAAGCCATAAATTTCAGTATTACTGGCTTTTAGGTGTAGAGTGAAGAAGATTCACATTAGAGTGAAGAAGATTCACATTATTTCATAGTTTTTATTGCCTTTTGGGAACCAGTTTTATTCTTCCTGGAAATACAGAGCATAGAGGTTTTTCACTATAACTTTATATCTCCTCCATGCAGCATACAAACTAATGACCAGTGACAGTTTTGTTCTTATGAAGTAATATTCTTGTCTTCCATAATATTCAGAGTGTAGTGTGAAAAGCTGTATAAATGTGTGTAATTGCTGATAAATGCCAATTTTCAAATGCGTAAGAGGCAGCATTCTTTAGTATTTCCACAGTGAAGGTATTAAGGCCAGCATGAGAAGTCAGCTTTACTTTTTCCAGTCTTCCATTTCCTTTCCTTCCCCTTCCTCATTATCAGTTTCTTACAGTGAGTGCAGAGTTAGAGTTTGTGTTGGGGAGAAAGGGTGCTGCCCTCAGTGACCCTTTTATCTGTCCCAATTGATCTCCTCTTCTAAGTCCTGCAGTTGATTAAATGAGAAACCTAAAAGTCCAACCTGGCATTCCCATAACAAAAATAAAACTACTTTTAAGAGCAGTCTTAGGAAACTTTGAGACTTATATAAAACAGGATGCCTCTAAATGAGGTTGCTTGAATTGAGATTCAATATAGAAATGTAGGTTGTTGTAACATTTAACTTGATAAAGTAAAATTGGTATTTCTATAATATATACATGATTTCTGTTTCCTTAACAGAAAGTCTCATTCCTTTATCATTTGTTCTGCTTGTAACTAAAACAGCATAGTATAGCTTTTTAAAAGATATTCAGAAGTTAAATAACTTAACAAGTATTTATTGTGTTATATTTAACTTTCTCTCTTTGAGAAACAAAGTGTGTGAAACCGCCTCTTTATGGGTGGGGACCTCACAATTTAGGTAGGGAGTCGAGCTGTATGTAAGAAGAGTGCACATTTGGACTTGGGACCTGGACTTTGAAGGGGAGGAAGGATTTAGATGGGGGTGGGGGGATAAGCTAGGGAAAGAGCAAGAATAAAAACACAGAGAAATAAAAAAACATGGACTGGATTGTGGCTTATGAATTGGTTAACCCGGATGAAATGAACAGTTTGAGTGGCTCCGAGGGTGGTTAAGTAGGCTGTGTAGTGGGTTACTGGAGGATTTTTGAAAGCTAGGAAGGAGAGTCTGAACATGTTTCAGTAGACAGTAAAAAGCAATAAGCCAGGTTTTTGAATAGTTTAAAGAATATTTTTGAATATTTGGTGGGAAATGCAAAGGGTAAGGAAGGAGAAGAGCTACATGACATTGGTAGTAGTTGGCATGTCAAGGGGTGGGGCAAAAGGGAGTAGCATGGCAGCAGCAGGCAGGGTAAATTCGAATCCCAGAGAAGCGAGGAGTTGAATCTGAAGCTTCTGTTGATTATAAAGTATGTATTGGCTGGGCACCTTTATTTGTTATCCTGCTTCCTTCCAGAGTTTGAGCCAGTTGAGATTTTAATATAGTCAGTGTTGAAGTTTTGCTCTGTATGTAGTTCAATAGCATGCCCTAGACTTTATCAAACACCTAGGCTTTCATGTTGAACATGTGTGCTGCTGTTCAGAGAAATATGGTAGGTATAGATGGAACACAGCTGTTTGAAAAATAATCCAGGTATCTCTAGCCAGCCTCCCTACAAATTGTGACCCTTGTTTCTTTGTTAAAGGAAAAAGTAGTCACGTGTTGGTGAGAATTAACTTTCCTTTTGTGCCATATAGATGGGTCTTGATGGACTTCAACAGGATTATATCAGAAAAGCTGAATACCCTTTTAGCTCTGAGCAGAAGTGGATGGCTGTTAAGTGTGTGCATCGAACACAGCAGGTATCCTTCCATTATAGAAAACTTACTCTGTGTTGTTTAACTAGATTACTGTTTTTCATTTATTATCCACCTTTAGATTTAAGCAGTCATTGAGCATAACACAGACCAGCTCTGAAGTGTGTGTGATTCATAGTACACTCATCCCTGGTTGTTTTCATGTTCTCTTTGAATTTATGCATAGACATGTCAGTTTTGCTGCGTGAGCAAACAGCTCAAATGAGCTGGAGCCTGGTCTCAGTCTCCTGGAGATTGTGACATCAGTCTTTCGACATCTTTTTTGTTCTTGATGACAGATTTCTGCTGTCTGTGTTTTTCCACTGAAGAATGTCTTGTCTTCAGGCTGAACAAAAACTACATTATTTTGTGGAAACATGGTTACCAAATATGTATAATTCATGTTAGTTGATCCAGCTTACAAACTGACAAAACGAAATGCACTGATATTTCAAGCTACTTATCTCTGGGTGCTTTAGAAATTTTTACACAGTGCAGTAAGAGTTATGTACAATAGTTATCTACAGTGTATAATCATATCACTCATAGTTGCTATTACCAGCTTGATGCTTACACTTACTTTGGCCTTAAAAATATATAGCTGTTTTTACATTTTCTTTATTAGGAATTAATAAACGGTTATGTGTTTTTACCTGTGAGCAAACATTAGAAACCAGTTACATCTCTGTAGATGGGAAGTAGTGAGAGGATTCTCCCTTGCCCATAATAAGTAGGAAACATTGGTTTTAAATTGCTCAACATTGAACTTGTGCCAGGAACTCTGATGATGAGGGGAAAAAAGATTTCTGTTTAGTCTTTAAAGGAACTGTTATAAACTTCAGGGAAGGGATACAGTTGGAAACAAAACTATAAAAATAAAATGCCTGTTACTTTAAACCTTGTAATGTAAAGCTTTCAAAAATTGCATCAGAGTTAGGTAATTTTTAGCTGATGTCCCTTGTCTATATAGTTACATAGCAAGAATATGTATATGAGTTTATTTGCAAGGTGTATTTCTTTACATTTTATATATGATCACACGCTACTTCAAGATAATGTGGCTCATGTAAAGTTCGAAGATTTGACTTCAGCAATTTTGAATCTAACCTCACCAAAGTTGTACATTGACTCTTTTCAGTTGGGGGTAGGGGTAGGGAGTGGCGGGATATAAGTATAGAAAGGGCGTGATCATTCTTTCCATTTGCTGACTTGAAGAGTTTCTCTTAGAAAACAAAATCAACAGATTTAACTAACAAAACCCAAACCCGCTGACCTGACTCAGGATCTAGAAGAGGTCAGCCTGGCACAGATATGAAAAATGTACCAGTTGAAAAACAGCCCCACAGGACTTCCCTGGTGGCACAGTGGTTAAGAATCCGCCTGCTAATGCAGGGGACAGGGGTTTGAGCCCTCAAAGAAGAGTAGCCCCTGCTCACCGCAACTAGAGAAAGCCCACGGGCAGCAATGAAGACCCAATGCAGCCAGAAACAAACAAACAAACGAAAAACAGCCCCAGGCTCAAATAGTTTGTCTTTAGAGGACTTTCATTTGAACACGACAATCTGCATTTATCTCTGCTCTCTCCCTGGAACCTACCAAAATGACAACCAACGAATAAAAGATGAACTAAAAAAGAGGAAGTATGGGAAAGACTTAGGGGGACAGGTATCTTTGAAGGTGGGGCCTAAGGCATGTGGCTAAAAAGAGGAGAGCAGGTTAAAATTCTAATAAGGAACCAACAGAACTCCCCCACTTACTTTTCTGTTTCTTGAGGCCAGACCAGAAATGTCATCTTGGGGACAAGAGTGGAAGGCAGAATTAAGGTTTAAGACTAAACACAGGGTGGTTAAGGGCAAGCCGTTGTCCTAGGTCCTAACTCCACTTTCTCAGAATGCTTGCAGGTAGGTATCCCCATATCCTCATTCTCCAAGTCAGAAGATCGAAGAGTTTTAGAGAAGCTGACTGGTCCTGGGGAGATCCCTACAGTATGGAGTAGTCCTAAATAAGCTCTTTGTTCATTGGTAGAGTTTACCTGCTCCTGGTCTTCGTCTTGTCACTCTACTGTGAGGGCTACCAGTTGATAAACCCTGCAGTGCCCATGGAGTTTCTAGACCTTTATTTGCTTTGGTCTTGAATGTAAATGGACAGACAGGGATTGCGAGATACTTGGGGAAAGCCTTCAGTATGAAAGACACAGACCAAGCCAACAGAGAAAAGGGTCTCAGAAACAAAGATAGTGCTGGATGCTGAAGAAAATTTCCAAAGACCATAAAAAATGACAAGATACTTTAAATAGAATGTTTTTCAAATAAAGTCAAGGAATCTATCAGAAAGTAGAAAAGTCAAAGAGGTGGACAATATAAAAGGTAAGGTGTAAAAATCAGAGAATTGATGTAGGAGATCCAATATCCACCTAATAGTGGTGACAGAAAATGGGAAGATTTTAGCAAATAACATCAGGAAAATTTCTAGAGGAAGAACTTCAGCTTCTAGAATAAAATTGCCCACCAGCTGCTCGGCACAATGTGTATGTTACAGAGGGGTGGGGGTGAGAGAATAAACACACCAAGGTCCACGATCAAGTAATCTGAGGGCACTTAGCATTCTAAAAGCTTCCAGAGATTGTGGGGTGGGAGGAAGGGCAAGGGGGAGGAGGTCCTACACCAAAGTTTAGGACTTTCCAAATGCAGCACTGCACACTGGAGGCTGGAAGATGATGGAGGAAAGCCTTCAACTGAGAGGCGATCTCTTCCCAGCTGAGCTTACATATGTGGGGGTAAAATAAAAATGTTTCCAAACAAGCCTCAAAGTGTATAGCCCACACAGCTTTTCTTAGATACTGATGGATGTGTTATTCCAAGGTAAGAGTATAAATCAAGGAACAGGGAGACTTAGAACCTCGTGAGTTCTAACCAGCAGAGGGGTGAAGGGAAGCTCCTGGATGCCAATCATGCACCAAGCCTGGAAATGAGCCAGCTCACACTGGAAAAGGAAGGGAGAGCACAGCCCGAGGAGGGAGTTCTCAGTCATAATATGGGAGTAATGGCTCACCTACTTATTGGATCATGTGAAAAATACATTGAGAAGGGCTTTATATGACATGGAGGAGCTTGGGAATAATGAGTAATAGGTGTAAAGAAAACTAAGCAAATAAATAAAGAGACAGTTATTAACTTTATGAAAGATAAAACTTGAACAGGAAGAAATATATTGGGCTTCTGTAGGTCATGGAAACAACATCGTACCTTTCTGCTCCCTGTTTCCCCGTAACATCTGGTTACTGCTCACTTGGGGACCACAGAGATGGACGCTCCTCTCAATGTGAGCTCACACTGTCGTACCAAGGCAGAGGAGGACCACGTTATGCACTGGTTCCTAAATTACCATTTGGAAGTGACACAAGTACTGCTCATGTTTATTGGCCAAAGCAAATCACATCTGACTTCAGAGTGGTAAGAGGTGCAGGAAAATACATTTCTACCGTGTGCCTCCAAGGAGAGCTGGGACGTTTGTGAACTGCTCTGGTGGCCACTTGGCTCAGCAGTGAGGAATTGGGAAGTGAGCAGAATACTGGTGAGTTTTGCTCTGCATGTATTATAACAGTGAGGAGAAGGAATAGATAGTGGGGGTGGCCAGACGATCACCTGTCACAGTAGACAGAGTATAAAATTGTTTAGTGAACAAGTAGCAATAAAAACATAATTAAGGGCTTCCCTGGTGATGCAGTGGTTAAGAATCCGCCTGCCAATGCAGGGGACACGGGTTCAAGCCCCGGTCCGGGAAGATCCCACATGTCGTGGAGCAGCTAAGCCCGTGTGCCACAACTACTGAGCCTGCGTGCCACAACTACTGAAGCCCGCACGCCTAGAGCCCGTGCTCCGCAACAACAGAAGCCACCGCAATGAGAAGCAGGCGCACCGCAACGAAGAGTAGCCCCCGCTCGCTGCAACTAGAGAAAGCCCATGCGCAGCAACGAAGACCCAACCCAGCCAAAAAATAAATTAAAAATAAATAAATAAATAAATTTATAAAGAAATAAAATAAAATTGGTTTGCCTCTGTGGAGTAGGACTAGAGGTGAGGAGGTTTTGGGCAGGGGACTGTGGGTTTTCATTGTAAGTTTTTGTTTATTACTTTACTAGGGTGAAAAATAAAATGTCTGATAATACCCATAATTACAAGGTGGTTGTGAGAATTAAATGGGGTCACGTGTATACATATAATAGCAGTAGTAGAAAGCCTAAACCATTGCTTGTGGGCTGACGTTAGATCTTTTTCCCTTTCCTGTTACATCGTGAGCTGAGAGTGCCTAGTGTGGAGCTGAGTGTAGCCTTGCCTTCACTGTGGCGCTGAGGGTGTGGGGTAGATGCTGTGTTCTAAAGAGGATGCAGAAAACTCCCATGTGAGCTTTTAATCTTCAGAGTTCAAGTGCTGTTCAAAGCCTTAGGCTTGAGTAACTTCCCTGGGGATTATGGGAATGCATGCCGCTTGTTTTTGATTCCAATGGCAGATATATACAAATTGAAATTAACTTGAATTTATTTGCTGTGTTTTTTCTTTTTAGGACAGACCAGAGATTTGTTTTATGAAGGGTGCTTATGAACAGGTGATTAAGTATTGCACTACATATCACAGCAAAGGGCAGACCTTGACACTCACCCAGCAGCAGAGAGATCTGTACCAACAAGAGAAGGCCCAGATGGGCTCTGCAGGGCTCAGAGGTAAGGCCATTTCAGCACCATCCCCTAGGTGGAGAGGTAATGCCTTCTTTTAATTGCAGATGAATTCATGCTTCACTTCTGAGCTGCACAGCTCTATTCCAGGGTTCGTAGAAGCCTGCCATTTCTGAAGTGTTAGGTTTTAGTTGACTAATTGTTTCTATGTTCCCAAAACATAAAAAGTTGGGAACGTAGCAAAATATGAAATCTCTGGTTCTTACAGACCTGCAGTGGTCTCTGAGCAGGTGATAGAAATTTTATTTTAGACAAGTTTATCTTGTGAGAACAGTGATAGATAGAAGTAAGATGGTGTTACTCCTTCCTTATGTTATCACTGGCTCTTGTTTGTTAATCTAAAATACTTTCCCAAATATTAAAAGACTTAAGCCTCTAATTCTTTAAACTGAGGTGGTTACTTACTTGTTCCTCATCCGCTGACTCCTTCCCTTGCCGATCACCAGAGAGGAAAGAGGTGCCCAGACTCTGCTTTGTGAAATGCTGCTGACTGGACAGTGACAGGGAAAGGGGGTCCGCTGTGCACACACACATCGGCCGCTTCTTCTAGGGACATCGTGTGTATGTAGGGTTGAAGAGCAGGGCTTGGGGCCGTACCTGGTTTTTACCTTCTGGCTTGTGGGGAATACACACACACATACACACACCCACACCCATGCACTTATGTAGTCTTTCTCAAGGAAATTGGAAGAGTTGGCTTCCTTAATTTTATTGTTATTTACAAAATGGAAATCAAGCACCACAGTTCCTGGGAGCAGGAAACAAGTATAATTTACAAGACTTCTGCTCTTATAATAAGATAGGTTTAGAAGGGTATTCTTGTGGCTTCATTTGAGGGCAGTGTTTTGTTATTCTTAGCAGCTCACAGCAAAAGGGTTTCAAAGTTGGGTTGCATTTAGAGAGTCTTAAAGGTCTGGTATGTGCTCCCTGTTTTCCTCAATTTTTGTAAAAGACGTTTCACACTTTTTTTTGACTAATTCTCTTCATCTGAAAGATTGTGGAGCTTTGTGTATGTGTGGTTTGGTGTGGTAACATTGTGAAATAGACAAGACTTGGTGGAGGAGAACGTCTTTGTTTCACAGGGCTTTGGGAAACATTCTGGGCATTTGTCCCTTGCTTCACATCTTTTCCTCTTCTCTGCTTATGCTCCATTTTCCTCCTCCCGCTGAAGTTACCGTAATGAAGAGTAAAGAATAAATGAATAAAGATTTTAAGTTTAACTTGATATGAACTTATTTTATACTTTATAAAACTTAAGTTTCTTAAAATACATGTCGTTAATTTAAAAATTGGAGTACGTTTCGTTTTTATGTTTTAAATATAAAGGAGGAAGTTGGGGACCCTCCACACAGAAAAGGTCTACATATCTTTGTCCCAAACAGTAACAATAGATCTTCATTTGTGCTAAAGAAGCAAACAAATAAATACAGGATACTGACCTCTGGGCTAATACCACCCCTTCACTGAGAGTGCCAGGAGCTGGTGTCCCTTTCTTAAGATGTGCTGACACACAGATTGATACTCAGTGCCCCCCTTCTGTTGCCATCTGCCTCTGTTCCAACACTAGGGACTGTCAAATGGCTCATTCTCTCCAGAGTGAAAGCATTTGGGGCTCACATCTACGTAAATAGTTAGGTATGACTCGTACACTGGAAAAATAGAAGTCATTTGCCTCTAACCATGGTTTTCCAAATGTATCTCATCCTTCATACCTTCTGCTTGAATAAGAATGGATACTTCCCGTGATCTCTCTGGGACTTTTCAGTTTCCCTGTAAGATACATATGTTTAGTTTGTGTGCTTTTTTTGGTGTGTTTTCTTTGGTAAGTTGTTCAGTCTTATAATATTCCAGATGGAGACACATCCCTCTGGCTCATAAGGTAGCTACCAGAGGTTCCAGAATTCTGAGAAAAAGCTAAATGGTATTTGGAAATGAACGGTACTTTGTGCTGTATCTTAAATTCCCGAGGGCGACAGGAAACTAACTATAAATGATGGTATGGTGGTATTATTTATATAGTTTTAAGAGAACCAAAGTAACAAATAAGAAAATCCTATTAATGTTACATAAAGAGTGAAAGAATATAAACTATTGTTGGTATTAGTGGTTTTACAATCACTTTACAAATTAACTTTACCTCCCAGGGTTTGTTGTGTACAAAATTATTGCATGTTGTATATAATTAATATAGCCTTCTCTTCAAGCTATTGAATTGTTCTGGAGGCCTATAAGATGGCAAGATGAAGATGCATTAGGAGAAGCCACCTTCAAAGGTGACTGTTTAAAATTGACTTTAAAGCTCAACAAACTGGGGCTTCCCTGGTGGGACAGTGGTTAAGAATCTGCCTGCCAATGCAGGGGACACAGGTTCGAGCCCTGGTCTGGGAAGATCCCACATGCCGCGGAGCAGCTAAGCCCGTGTGCCACAACTACTGAAGCCTGTGCGCGTGGAGCCTGTGTGTTCCGCAACAAGAGAAGCCACCGCAGTGAGAAGCCCTCGGCAACTAGAGAAAGCCCGTGCACAGCCACGGAAGACCCAACGCAGCCAATAAATAAATAAAAAAAATCTATTAAAAAAATTTTTTTTTAAAAAAAAAGCTCAACAAACCTATAGTTTTCCAAATAATTAATTGTATTTTTCTTAAGAGTTAGTAGTTTCTGCTGAAAGGAGCTGCATGTTTGCTATGTGAAAACATTTCTTATTTGCTCCTCACTTGTCTTCTCTGCTTAACAGTTCTTTAGTCTTATTCTTTTTAATTTTTAATAAGTTAAAGCAACCCCATATTGAGAACCATTAAACTAGAATATCTTTGCATGTAATAATTTTGATTTTTAGAGTTTTTGTAATTACCACAATGACATTGTCGTCTTAAGTCATTTATCTGAGAAGTATTATGGTCTCCAGCTTTTGTAAAGTAAATTCTAATGGTTTTGTGATTCACATTTTCTTTTTTGGATTTTATTATTATTTCCCAAGTTCTTGCTTTGGCTTCTGGTCCTGAATTGGGGCAACTGACGTTCCTTGGCCTGGTGGGAATCATTGATCCTCCTAGAACTGGTGTGAAAGAAGCTGTTACAACACTCATTGCCTCGGGAGTGTCAATAAAAATGATTACTGGGGACTCACAGGAGACTGCAATTGCAATCGGTATAACTAGGCTGCTTCCTTTGTTTTCCATAGTTTTTCTTAAATTACTGCAGTGCATAGTTTTGTGAAACATTTGACATGAAGTGTGTTTACATAATACTGAGTTATACAGTTAAAATTGATGCTTTTGTTTGCTCATACCCTATAAAATTGTGGACCAAATTTTATTTTAGTTAAAAAAATAATACTATTAGTTGAAAATAACTGAAGCATTGTGAAATCACATTATTTTATTTACAAAAGAATAGTTGATTATTTTTAACCTCATAGTCCACTATGCTGACGGATAAAAGCACTAGATCATGAATGTGAAAGAAAATATGAAATTTAGTTTTTTCTTTCAACTTGAGTATAATTTTTTAAAAGCAGACTTTGTACCTAATTTGAAAGAAAATAACTTGTGTCTGTATTTCTGTTGTCTAATACATATATGCCTATGTTGTTTGAATGCAGCTTAAGATTACTAAACAAGTATAAGGAAATAAAATGGACATGGAAGTTAATCTCCCAGAACCTGTAAACTACAATTCATACTGATAAATTTTAAATTTGCTAAAGTTCATTAATTCTTATCTTATTAATATGGAAAGAGACTGAGACAGGAATTTCACACTTTATGTGATCTAAGAAAAATATGTCACTGGAAACATCATATTGTTGGGAAGATTGTTCCTAGAGAAACTTCTCAACATTTATTTTCATTTACATAACAACTACATGATACCACAGATGAGCCACCATTTTGCCTGGCTTTGTTTACTTTATTTAAAATGCACTCTGATCTTCATTAAAATTGAGCTCCCAAGCAGAACCTGCTTGGCCTTGTTTCAGTTCTTAGGTGTGGTGGGTTAAATTGTGAAAACTCTTTATTCTTAAATTTAAACAAAAATAAAGTAGTCAAACAGAAAACCCCACAGTTTTTACTAGTTCAGTTCTGTTTGTCTTACTGTAGTCTGTCTTGTGATCCCTTCATATAAAGACATTTTATACTTAAAGGGAAAGTGAGTTGATAAATCATATTAAGTGAGCATTATGTTGACTAGCGTATCAAGCAAAACCAATTTGGTTAATTATGTTTTCTTTCCCATTTCACTTCAGCTAGTCGTCTGGGATTATATTCCAAAACCTCCCAGTCAGTCTCAGGAGAAGAAATAGATGCAATGGATGTCCAGCAGCTTTCACAGATGGTGCCAAAGGTAGGCCTAAACCAGAGCCTTTCACACTGAAAGGCCTTATTCTAGGTGTTAGACAACTTCTCCTGTTTGAAACATTTGAAAACAGTTGGGACATGACCACCAGATTCTTTGGTCCAAATCATGAGATGAAATCAGTCTTATCATTGAGAGTATTTATGATGTGATTGTTAGGAATATCAGTACTTTAGCAAGAGCCAAGTTTCCTCTGAGGAAGGTACTGTGGAAATTAACAGTGGTGTTTTGTATTTATAAAGTACAGAGTGGAGAGAGACCATCACTTCATACTTCTTACCCTTGTGTTCTATTTTAATTGAATGCATGTATAATGCTTTTAAAAAAATTGAGGTATCATTTGCAAACAGTAAACTTCTTCCTTTTTAATGTACAGCCGTAAGTATGTGGTCCTTTTGTAAACATCACACAATCGGGTACAGGTTCCTCCCACCCCAGATCCTCTTGTTGTGGTCAGCTCCTCCCTCTTTTTCCACTGCTTGGCAACCATCGATTTGTTTTCTGTCCCTATAGTTTTGCCTTTTCCAGAATGCTCTAAAAATGGAGGCATATAGTATGAGGGCTTTGAATCTGCTTTTTTGACTTAGCATAATGCATTTTTAATTGCTGAGTAGTATTCCACTGTATTGGGTTTGTGTTACCTATGCACTAGTTTAAAGGCATTTGGACTATTTTCAGTTATTGCTGATTATGATTACAACTACTCTAAACATTTGTATATAGTTTTTATATGAAAATAAATATTCATTTCTCTTAGATAAATACCTAAGAGTAATTGCTGAGTCTCATATGGTTATGTATGTTTAACTTTGTAAGAAAGTGCCAAATTGTTTTACAGGGTGGTTTTATTGTTTTGCATTCCCACCAGCAATGTTTGAAAGGTCTAATTGCTCATATCCTCACCAGCACATGGCATTGTCAGTTTCCCCACTCCCATTCTAATAGGTGTATCATGGTATCTTATTGTGGTTTTAATTTGCATTTCCCTCACAACTAATGATTTTGTGTATCCTTTTCATGTGCTTATTTGCCATTCATATATTTTCTTTAGTGAACAGTCTACCCTGCCTATTTTTAAAAAAATGTTTTATTTTTGAATTTTGAAAGTTACTTTTATATTATGGATAAAAGTCCTTTATCAGATATTTGATTGGAAAATATTTTTTCCCAGTCTGGTTTTATTTTTTTATTCTATTAACATTGTCTTTTAAAGAACAGAAGTTTTAAATTTTGGTGAAGTCCAGTTTATAATTTTTTTCTTTTATGGATCATGCTTTTGATATGTTATCTGAGGACTCTTTGCCTAACCCAAGGTCCAAAGATTTTTTCCTGTTTTTTTTTTTTTTTTAATAGAAGTCTCATACTTTTAGGTTTTACACTAACATCTGTGATCCATTTTGAATTATTTTTGTCTATGTGTGAGAAGTGGGTTAAGGTTCATTTGTTTTATGTATGGGTGTTCAATTGTTCCAGTACCTTTTGTTGAAAAGACTGTCCTTTCTTTTTCATTGAAATGCCTTTTCAGAGCATCTGGGAGCAGTGTGGGTGTCTGATTTGTTTTAGATTTAGTGGGGTAGGTGTTTCCATATTTGCACAGGACTCTGTGTATGTATGTGTGTGTATGTGTCCTATCCTGTTAGTTTCTTCCTGACATTTATTTCTGAAAGAATAAATCCTGTATTAAGTTCCCTGGGGGTATTGAGACAAAATGTACATTTAGTAAGTATATGTGAAATCTGCAGTTAATAAAACATTTTCCCATTAATCTTTGTTCAGCCTTTTCTTCCACACCTTTTCCCAGAGATGCTAACAAGTAGTGACATAGGACAGATTTGAAATTTCATTTTATTTGCTTTCTTCAGTTCACTCTCTCTGGCTCTCTGATAAAAATGCTAATGAACTCTGAAAACCAATGTAAAGGCAGTTAGGGAAGGAAGAAGTAAGTTACAAATTGCATCATCAGCCTGGAGAAATTACATCATTGGTCATTTTCAAATAAGAGTTTTTGTGCATCAATTATGGCAGATGCTCTGATGCTATTCAAAGAGAAAAGCTCATTGAATTGCTTGGAGTCATCCTGCTCTGTGAAGGAATTCCATAAATACCAGGGCTTTTTTCAGGTTTATCATGTCTTTTGAAAACCCAAGTCTTTTCTTTCCTTTAGGTCCTTTTAGTCCCCCCCAACCCCTACTTTGTCTTTTTTCCCATTTTTATCTTGTGTTCATGTAACTCTTAAACCTTGGTCTTATGCTTTTACTTCAGAACATTTTAAAAAGTTTTTCTTTTATTAGTGTTAGAACAAAACAAAACTTTTCTTCTAAATTGCCAGCTCACTGAGGTTTTCCCACATGTATTAAAAATCATATTAATGAATTCTGTTCCTCATTAAAACGTTTTTTGGCTTTCCTGTTTGCATAATTCTGTCACACATTCCAAATCCCTTAACATTTCTCTGTCCTTTTGACCTAGAGCCAGTTAGAAAGTAGTATGGAAACTGAATTTTGCTTAATTATTTATAAAGTCCATCTGGGAATTCTCAGTGTTTTTTGTTTATGATTTCTTGAGTGTGTTCTACATTTCCTGTTGATAAAAATGGACATTCTCTTTTCTTGTTTGTTTTTTTTTTTTTTTTGCGGTACGCGGGCCTCTCACTGTTGTGGCCTCTCCCGTTGTGGCGCACAGGCTCCGATGCGCAGGCTCAGCAGCCACGGCTCACGGGCCCAGCCGCTCCGCGGCATGTGGGATCTTCCCGGACCAGGGCACGAACCCGCGTCCCCTGCATCGGCAGGCGGACTCTCAACCACTGTGCCACCAGGGAAGCCCTTCTTGTTTGTTTTTTATAGCACTGCCTCCATTTTTGTTTTTACCAAACCTATTAACCAAGTCCCTATAATAAAATCCCAGTTCGTGTGCTGTTTAATTTTTGGTATGTCGTCAATACTTATTTCAATGCATCAGGTATCTTTTAATCTGTTCTGGAAGATTTGGGGACCTTTGGGAGGTTATTTTAATGCCAGGAATAATTTTTTTCTATTAGCCTCTCCTTTTCATATTTACCTACTTTCTTCTCTTCATAACTTACTTTCTGTTAATGTTGATCAAAAGAACTGTGAGTGCTGACCACAAATATGACACTGAAAAGATGGACCCATGAGAAGAGAAAAATCCTCTTGCAGGTTCCTTCTGAAAATACACAGCCTTTCTCCCTTTCCCTCCGTAATATTCCCTGAACTCTCTTTGCTGACACAGTTCTACTTCTTTCCCATTGTCCTTTTACCATCCTGTTGTCCTCATTCTGTCTTCTCCCCTCCTGCTCCCATACTACAGTGATTATATTGTGTGCTTATCTTAAATCAGTATATTCCCCCCCTTTTAGGTAGAGAAACAGACATAAAAGTGAGAAGATCATTAATAGAGGAATTTCAGTTACCCCCAGGTTTAATCCTAGCTCTGTGATAAAATGATATAGTTCAGGTTTTAGTCACTTCTCTGTGTGTGTGTGTTTTTTTTTAATACCTTATTTCTTCAGGCCATAATTTTGTGTCACTAAATTTCAATATTTTTTCTCAACCAAAAAGATTGACCTGCTAGTCCTGATGCTCTAAGGAGAATTTTTACTCTGTGCAATATTATATTCCACATGATTCTTCAGCTTTGAATTGAGATCTGCTTAGTCTCAAAGAAACTGCTTTTATTTTTGAGTTGCCATCAAAGCTTTGAAATGCTGAAATCTATATCAAGTAATAGGTGTACTGGATGCATGCCAAAGTAATTTGTTACTATACAAAAGAAGTACGTTTTCAGCCCAACAATTGGTTTGTTATCCTTATTGCCATTGTCAGTGATAAGCTGCATTGGCTGTAAAGGAGTGATTTGCAGTGGTTTGAATGATTTGTAGTGGAACAAAGGCAAAATTTTACTCTGTACAACCTGAGTATTTGTAATTAGTAATTAGCCTTTTATTTAAAAATTCTGTAAAATCGGGCTTCCCTGGTGGCGCAGTGGTTGAGAGTCCGCCTGCCAATGCAGGGGACGGGTTCGTGTCCTGGTCCGGGAAGATCCCACATGCCTCAGAGCGGCTGGGCCCGTGAGCCATGGCTGCTGAGCCTGCGCGTCCAGAGCCTGTGCCCCGCAACGGGAGAGGCCACAACAATGAGAGGCCCGTGTACCGCAAAAAAAAAAAGAAAAAAAAATTCTGTAAAATCCACAGTCTTTGCTAGATGCTCTTGTAAAATATTCTGTAAAATCCACAGTCTTTGCTAGATGCTCAGTGCTGGGTGCTACATGATTAATTTCTGCAGTAATGTAGAATTTTCACTTAGAAGGTAACCAGTACATTTTAAATATGTATGCAGCTTAGTCCTTTTTATTTTATTAAAAAATTTTTTTTAATTGAAGTGTAGTTGATTTACAGTGTTGTGCTTGTTTCAGGTGTATAGCAAAGTGATTCATTTATACATATATATCTTTTTTTTTTTTTTAAGTGAACACTTTTTAATTAATTAATTTATTTTTGGCTGTGTCAGGTCTTAGTTGCAGCCCATGGGATCTTTCGTTGCGGCACGTGAGCTCTTTGTTGCAGTGTGCAGGCTTCTCTCTAGTTGTAGCACATGGGCTCCAGAGCGCGTGGGCTCTGTAGTTGCAGCATGTGGGCTTAGTTGCCCCGCGGCAAGTGGGATCGTAGTTCCCTGACCAGGGATCAAACCTGCGTCCCCTGCGTTGGAAGGTGGATTCTTAACCACTGGTTAACCTTATAGGTTATTACAAAATATTGAGTATAGTTACCTGTGTTATCAATATATAGTAGGTCCTTGTTGCTTATCTGTTTTATATATAGTAGTGTGTATTTGTTAATCCCAAACTCCCAATTTACCCTCCCCGTCTTTCCCCTTTGGTAACCATAAGTTTGGTTTTTATGTCAGTGGGTCTATTTCTGTTTTGTATATAAGTTCTTTTGTATATAAGTTCATTTGTATCACTTTGATGGGGTTTTTTGTTTGTTGTTTAGATTCCACATATAAGCAATATCATGTGATATTTGTCTTCCTCTGCCTGACTTCACTTAGTACGAAAATCTCTGGGTCCATCCATGTGGCTGCAAACGGCATGATTTCATTCTTTCTTATGGTTGATAATGTTCCATTATATATATATACCACATCTTCTTTATCCATTCATTTGTCTGGACATTTAGATTGCTTCCATGCCTTGGCTATTAAGAATAGTGCTGCAGTGAACATTAGGGTACATGTATCTTTTCGAATTACAGTTTTCTCTGGATATGTGCCCAGGAGTGGGATTACAGGATCATATGGTAGCTTTGTTTTTAGTTTTTTAAGGAATCTCCATACTGTTCTCCATAGTGGCTACACCAATTTACATTCCCCCCAACAGTTAGGAGGGTTCCTTTCTCTCCACACCCTCTCTGGCGTTTATTATTTGTAGACTTCCTAATGATGGCCATCCTGACTGGTGTGAGGTGATGCCTCATTGTAGTTTTGATTTGCATTTCTCTGATAGTTAGCAATGTTGAGCATCTTTTCATATGCCTTTTGACCATCTGTATGTTTAGTACTTTTTAAAGACATGGTAAAGAGTTTCCAAATGGATTTTGAACCTTTTTTAAGGAAGAATGCTTTCCACATATGAGTTATGTGATTCATGGTACCTAGAGGAACTAAGGGTAATCAGTAATGTGATAGTACAGTTAAACTGAATTTTTTTGCCTAAGAAAATAATCCTCTTTTGTTTTAGACCTTTATTAAAATTGGGAGAGAACCTGGGAATAGTCTTTATGATGGTCCTAAGATTCAGTCATTTATTCATTCATCTTACATGTGTTTATAGAGCACTGGAGGTACTGGGCCAAAATCTCTGCCTCATGGAGCTTATAGTCTAAGATAAAACTCATGTGGAGTATAGCACTGCACAGAGTAAAAATTCTCCTTAAAGCACCAGGATTAGCAGGTCATTCTTTTTGGTTGAGTAAAAATAATGAAATTTAGTGACACAAAATTATGTCTTGAAGAAGTTAGGTATTAAAAAAAACCCACAGAAGTGTCTAAAAATTGAACAGTATCATTTTATCACAGAGCTGGGACTAAACTTGGGGGTAACTGAAAATTCCTCTGTTAATAATCTTTTCATCTTTATGTCTATCTCCAGCTAAAAAGGGGGGAATATACTGGTTTAAGATAAGCACACAATACAGTCACTGTAGCATGGGAGCAGGAGGGGAGAGCACTGACAAAAGCAAGGAAGAGAGAGGATGAGATCTTTAGACAGCATGCCTAGGAAAGGCATCGCTGAGAAGGTCCTGTGTGATGAAAGGGGCAGGCTGTGTAATATCCGAGGGAACACAAGGGCAGAGGCCTCAAGGGAAGTGCGCTTGGCATGTTTCAGGAACTATGAGGCGGCCAATGTAGTGCAGGGTGCGGGGAGAAGACTAACCGGGGAGCATGCACTTCATGTGGGGCTTGGTGGACAGTAAAAGACTTGGGCACCATTCGCTTTTCCTGAGAGGGATGGGAGGTTTCTGGAGGGTTTTCAGCAGAGGACAGTGTGGTTTGACTTGTGTTTTTAACCCAGTGTGTTGGCAGTGGGTTTCGATGTTTGAGTAAGGAGGTTAAGTGTGGATATATTTGAGGATGGGGCCAAACTGTGTGTGGCATGTGGGAGAAGAGGAGGAATCAGGGTGACTCCCCAGATTTAGAGCCTGAGCCATTGCAAGAGTGCACTTGCCATTGGCAGAGGATGTGAGGGAGCATGTGTTTGGGGAAGTAACAGGGGTTCTGTTTGTCATGTTTAAGTCTGAGATGGGATGTCCAAGAGCAAATGTGGAGTAGGTAGGTGGATTAGTTTATCAATCTGGATTTCAGAAGAGACAAAAAGGCATATAAATAAAAGCCAGATTTCTAAGGTGGGGTGAGATCCCCTAGGGAGAGACCTCTTATATTATAAAGAGCCCAAGAACTGAGTTCTAGAACACCTCAGAGTGTAGACTTCAGGGAGGCCTGGGGGACCCTGGACAAGAGGAGCAGCTGGAGAGGCAGGAGGGGGAGCAGGAGAGTGTAGGGTGGTCCTGAGGCCGGGAGAAGAGGGCGCCTCAGGAGGAGGGAGCGGTTGGCTGTGTGCGGGGTTAAGTCACGGGAGAAGTGGCACTGGTGTCAGCAATGCGGAGTCTTTGGTGCTCTTGATGAGAGGTTTCAGGGCAGGGGTGCGGGTAGCAGCCTAATCAGGAGGGATTCAGGAGAGAGTGGAAGAGAGAGATGGGAGACAGCAGCAGTACGGGCAGCTCCCTGGAGGAGTTTCGCTTATAAAGAGAAGGGGAAAGGAGGGTAGCAGCTGAGATAGGAAGGGAAGTTTTTGGTTTTGTTTTTCTTTAAATGGAAGGAATAACAACATGTTTGTACAATGATGGTAAAGGTGCAGCAGCAAGGGAAAAATTTTGATACAAGGGAGGGAGAATTTCTGATTGGTAAGAAGGTGGGATATTTGACCTGCACTAGAAACATATTCATGTTGTTCATTTGTAGTAAAAGGAGAGAAGGAAGGATACTGTCTGGATACAGCTATTGGATGGTGGGAGTTGTGGAAGTTTTCTCCTGACTGTTTTCTTTGAAGTAGGAAACAAGGTTGTCAGCTGAGAGTGAGGCTGGGGAAGGGGATAAATTGGAACCATGAGGAGAGAAAACTAGTGTGGACCTATCCTCTAGGAGAGTAGGAAAGAGAACGGTGGGTTACGTGGGTATTAAAGTCACCTGGCTCGGGGGTGTTGGAAAGACTGATGGGAGGCAGTGGTTACAAGTTCCTGTGGAACATGGAGGGTGGCCTCGGGAGCAGTGACTGGCCACAGGTAGTGAAGTACAGTCTTCTGTGACGTTCAGAACCGAGGATCTGTGACTGAAGAAGGGAATGGAGGGCACCTGCCCCCTCTGTGCTCTCCTGGTGGTGCTATTGGAGAGGACTGTGGGAACAGCAGTGTGGGTAAGACTGGAGGGCCAGGGGATTTGTCGATGACTGGGGCACTGGGAGGGTTTCAGGAGACCAGGAGATGGGATCAGGAAAAGGGATTAAATATATTCTTTGGAGAGAGAAGATGGTATAAGCAGGTGGAGACACAATGGAAGAGAGAGCGCCTAATGAATTAAGCTGAGTAGAAGAGCATGAGTAGACACTTCATAGTGCTTAACAACAAAAAAAGGCTCGAGGGACGTTGAGAAGCAGCTGTTCTTTAAATCTCCTGAAGACAGGACAAAGGGAAAAGACCATTTTAGTTGTGTCAGTGTCGAGGAAGCCGATGCAGGAGAGTTTTTCCTTTGTCTCTGAACGTTTCAAGAATAAGGCTGTTTTCTCTTCAGAGCTTAAACATAATGGGATAAACTGGGTAAATTGTTTAGATTGTGCATTTCTTATAGTACCTAAAAATTTGAAATGACCCTGTCAAATGAGTGTCCTAACAAATGTATGGCATATTCTTAAGTTTGATCTCTGTGGCAAAATACAGACAGTTTAAATTGATAATTTAAAAAATATTCTTAGTTATAAGTACATAGGTTATTCTGATATTTCTTAATGTTGAAGATTTTTAGTGTATCCCGTGTTTTAACAGGTTGCGGTATTTTACAGAGCTAGTCCAAGGCACAAGATGAAAATTATTAAGGTGGGTGTCTAAGAATCACACTGTTTTATCTCTGTATCCAAAATGCTACTGCTTGTCTTTCATTATGTTTGCATTACTACTGGGAATATTGATAGAGCATTAAAGTCAGAAGTATTGTGAAGCAAAACAGGAGGTTTTTTAAAGCCTGAGATGGAAACATTAATAGAGAATTTAGTTTGCAAAGGAAGATGTGGAAGAAAACTTTAAGGAAATATCTGCAAATACAACCTTCTTTAAACATTTGAATAATGTAGAAATATGTTCTGACAGGAGGCTATAGCCAAATCAACCCAGTGTGAATAGGAATAATTACTTAGAAACTGAATAAACGCAGCAAGAAAAAAATGTTTTGAGAGTGTGAACAATGTTTAAAGGGCTATGATTGTTTATATTAGTCAAATATATACAAAGCAGCTGACATGGTACCATCAGTTCATGGACTTATTAATCACAGTAGTGCTCCATTGTACTGAGGTCATGGTTTCTTGGCCTTGGCACTGTGACACTGTGGGCTGGATAATTCTTCATTGTGAGGGGCTGTCCTGTGTGTTGTAAGTTTAGCAGCATCCCCGGCTCCTATCCTTTAGATGCCAGTAGCGTCCCTGAAGTCATGACAATCAGCAATGTCTCCAGACATTGCCAGATGTCCCCTGGGAGACAAAATTGCCCTGAGAACAACTGTGTAATTGACTCTTCATCAGGCTCTACACATAGAATTCATAGAATTTTCACACATGGAAATATTAATGGCAGCTTTTTCTAAGCTTTATCTTAAGACCTCCATATATTTATTGAAGTTTTATTGAAAAAGTGATTGTCTGTTTTATTTCCAGTCTTTAATTATGTGGGAAAGAAAAAGAGAGAGGATTTGTTTATCCCCTTATCTGTGTGGAAGCAGCATTTTAATCAGAACGCCTCCCTCCCACTTCTCCCCTCTCGCCCCCAGTCTCTGCAGAAGAACGGGTCGGTTGTGGCCATGACAGGAGATGGAGTAAATGATGCAGTTGCTCTGAAGGCTGCAGACATTGGAGTTGCAATGGGTCAGACTGGCACAGATGTTTGCAAAGAGGCAGCAGACATGATCCTGGTGGATGATGATTTCCAAACCATCATGTAAGTTTTCCTTCAATGAATGCACATCAGAGAGTCCCCTCCCATTCTTTCTTGCACCCCCTTCATAGAAAAGACTTTAGCAGTTTTAGACATTGGATAAACTAAACTTTTTTACTAGATTAATTAATCTTATTTTGTGTACTAGTGTGTAGTTTGGGGGAAGATTATTTGTATGGAATGGACATAATAAATGGCAGGAAATATTTAGGAAATATTACTGAGTACCAGCCAAGTGTCACATTTCCTGGCCACTAGTGTTGTGATACAGCAGTGAACCCTCATGTGGCCTTTATTCTAGTTAAATTCAGGCTCACAGGAATAAGCATGTGCCTGGCCTTACAGTAAGTATTATAAATAAAGATCCCATCCATATCTGTTTCCTTCTGTCAGGAATTGTTCATGTTACTAATGATGCAATTTATCATTTGAATAGATTTGTTTCACCCACAGTTTCTAATTGCTTTAAGATTCTGCAATACCTGCTGGTTGTTTCACAGTGTTCAGGTGGAGGTCACTTGATAATCATCTCTTGAATGATCTAAGTCTTAGTTCAGTGATGCCCTCCCTGTGTGCCTCATTAACCCATTGTGGCCTCAAGTGGAGCATGTGGGCCCTCAGGACCCAGAATTGCTAGGCTCTTAAAAAGATATAAGATATTTAATTTCCATTCTTAGAATTGTATAAAAATCTTGGAAGATAGGGCAATATGTTTATAAAACACATATTTTCCTAGGTTGAGCAAAATAAATGAGAGAATTTACATGGATCTTTGTAAACCATATTCTTTTTATAATTCTGGTACAACATATACCTAATTGTGTGTAGTAGCAACAGATGGCTTAAGTTCTATAAGTTTTATATGTCTCATTGCCATTTAATTTCTAACCTACATTAAATTAACCCCTTACCATGCATGCCTCTTGTATCTTGAAGTAAAATAAACTTGGAGGGGTAAAGAAGATCATTATTTTAGTATTATAAATGTGTATTATTGCCTCTTGTGTAGAAACACAAGATGTGATTTTAATGTTGAAATGTCTTTTTAAGAATAAAAATTCCTGTGTTATGAAATTAGTTCGGGTAGAGTGTAGCAGGCCAGACTTCAATTCCTTGCCACAGTAGTGTTTCCTTTTTTTTTTTTTCTAGTATTAATTATGTGAAGAAAATAATAGATTTTCTTATTGATGTGTGTGTTTTATCAGTTGGAAATTTGTTTTCAAAATTAGTTCCACAGTATTGATATATCCTTATTTTTCTGTGATAATATTTTCTCACCTAATTTTATTTTTAACTTTCAGGTCTGCAATTGAGGAGGGTAAAGGAATTTATAATAACATTAAAAATTTTGTTAGATTCCAGCTGAGCACGTAAGTTTGTAAGAAGTTGTGACAAACTTATGGGTCTTGCAGATAAATTATTTGCAAAGTAGAATTCAAGCAGAATGCCTACAAGCTTCTGGGCTCTATTTCTGAGGGTTGTCCATATGTAAAAGTTTTCCAGTGTGAAAATTGAATCCTGTCCTAAATCTAAAAATGGCATGGTAAAGAGGTTCTAAGTGTGATAATTATTTGTCTGTATCATCATCAAAATATATAAACCTTTGTGGCTTATTTAATAGCTCCTGAAATAGAAAGGGGTGTCAAATTTTAATGTTTCTTCTTGGTATCTTTTTCCAAAAGTAGAAGGGCTTTTCTGTAGTCCAAAAACAGTTATGAAAATATCATTGAAACTATTAACTGTTATCTGAACTCAATTTAAAAAAAATCTTCCTCTATTTGAAGGTCCTTTATTAAAATGCTGTGGATCATAAGGGTTAACTCTTAGCTTCAAAATGTTCACACTAATGAAGCAGTAGGTTACTTGGAAATACGGGCTTCCTTTAAAAGAATAGTAGTAACATGAGAGTTTTAAATGCTAAGAAAGTGATTTCATAAAATTAGCAAGAATTATACTATGCTGACACGTTTTTTAAAATGACTCTTTCTTTCGATAGGAGTATAGCAGCATTAACTTTAATCTCACTGGCTACATTAATGAACTTTCCCAATCCTCTCAATGCCATGCAGATTTTGTGGATCAATATTATTATGGACGGACCTCCAGCTCAGAGGTGAGAGTTTTCTCATGTAAATTTGAAAGACAAGGATGGCATGCTATCCTGATAATTAAGCTCTAAGACTTCATCACGGATAGCGTTGGAAATCTCTGCAGCATCGTGTTTGTTATAAATTGTGTGATGTTAGCATATCATTTATTCTCTTGGAGTGCTCATTCATGCATTATGATCTGAGCTTTTAGGCTGTTAGATGCCCAGCCTTAAGTTGAGAACCCGGGAGGGAACAGTTGCAGTCCCTGTCCTCGAAGTAAGCTTTTTGTTTCTTAGAATAGGTTGTAATGGAGAAATCTCTGGCTTTAGTGCTATTACCAAGGTTCTGTTGCCAGTCTTAGAGACTTTGGGAAAGTATTGAAGGACCTAAGCATCTAAGTATCTTCTTTTATAATAATGGGGCCCTAGATGTTGCTTTCCTAACACAGAGGAACATGACACTGATACATGTCAGTGACCGTTACAACAAATTATCCTAGTTGAAACTTCCTTGCATGAAAGATGGTTCAAAGTCCAGTTGGTAGGTCATATATTTCAGGCCATATTTGGAATAAGTAAAGCTATATGTAAATAAAATTTGGGCAATTTTTTGAATTTGATTATCAGTCCCCTCCCAAACTGTGCCAAATAAACAGAAAAGGAAAGAGTGATAAAATCTTTGGTTATTTTCAAGTGATCATAGCCAAGGTTTTCTTCATGATTCAACATTTTGTTTCCAAAAGAAGACATTTAGTTTCCGGGATAATTGAGGTCAATGAAGTTGTGAAAGTAATAAATCCAAATCTTACTTAAAACTTTAATTCACTTTTCTGTTTGTTTTGAAGCCTTGGAGTAGAACCAGTGGATAAAGATGTCATTCGTAAACCTCCACGCAACTGGAAGGACAGCATTTTGACCAAAAACCTGATACTTAAAATACTTGTTTCCTCAATAATTATTGTTTGTGGGACTTTGTTTGTCTTCTGGCGGGAGGTATACTCACTGGATAAGCTGCTTTATTAATATTCATTCTGCACAGTAGGACTCGGTTATTTTTGTGTATTAAGCAGAAGGCTGGAAGTTACGAGAGCTCTTTCAAAAATAGAATAAAAACATCTAAACATAGTTTGATTTCAGTATTTATGGGTTAATAGAATTCCTGATTTATATATTAGAGTTATTTAAATCTGCAGAGAAGTATCAGATACAATAAAAGTTAACATGAAAACTTGGGAAGAAGGTAGAAAATCTGAGTCTTTAATATAGCTACTTTCATGTCATCAAAAAAGTTCTTTTAGTATCCAGTTTATGGTTTGGGAAAAGACTTTTTACTTTATGTAGACTACAGCTATTCATTAGGTGACTTATTTAAATGGCGTATGGGAAATTTAGGTTGCTTATATGTTTTATATCTTAAACTAAAGCTATTTCATTCTGAGAGGAAGAAAATATTAAACCTTTAAAAGCATGTAGTATTTGTTCATTAAATTCAGCCAGCTGAAAATCTTTTTTCCTCTCGACAGCTGCGAGACAATGTGATAACACCTCGGGATACAACAATGACCTTCACATGCTTTGTGTTTTTTGACATGTTCAATGCACTAAGTTCCAGATCCCAGGTATGCTTAGGTGATCTTAGCTGACTAATTCAATTGGGTTAGGGTACTCTCTAATTGCAAGTGGGCAGGGTTTTTAGCTTTGCTTGCTTTTGTAGCCGTGGTTATAGCCCCGGATATAGCCTTCCTACAAACATGTGCCTCCAGAATGTGTCCTAAGAGGGATGGGGCATTTGGGGAGATAAGCCTTAACTTTGGCTAGGAGATCAAAGTAAATCACAGGTGTCATCACCTGATTTTTCTTCTTTTCATTTTCTTATTATCTGTAGCTATATGATAGGTTCAAGTTAACATTATCTGAGGATAGGACAAAGCTCATGGCTTGTGCTAAGATGGTATTAGCCTCATTATAGAAGCAAGTATTGTTAGAAGTCCAGGAACAGCTTTGTGCATATTAACTTTTTCTCATTATTTCCATCAGTGTGTCAAAGCTTAGGACATTTAAAATTTTCTTTTCTTCCCATGCTTTATCTTAAGGTGGATTGCCTTCTCTCTCTCTTTTTTTGAAAATTTTATTTATTTATTTATCCTTGGCTGAGTTGGGTCCCCGTTGCTGCGCGTGGGCTTTCCCTAGTTGTGGCAAGTGAGGGCTACTCTCCGTTGTGGTGCGCGGGCTCCTCACCGCGGTGGCTTCTCCCGTTGCGGAGCACAGGCTCTAGGCATGCGGGCTCAGTAGTTGTGGCTTGTGGGCTCTAGAGCGCAGGCTCAGTATTTGGTGGCGCACGGGCCTAGTTGCTCCACGGCATGTGGGAACCTCCTAGACCAGGGCTTGAACCCATGTCCCCTGCGTTGGCAGGCGGACTCTTAACCACTGTGCCACCAGGGAAGACCTGGATTGCCTTCTCTTGATTGAAGTGCTTTGTTAGAAAATAATGGGCTAGAACCTAATGGTACTTTTTCAGAGCAGGAAACTAGCTAGTTTTTAGAAACTAGCTACATTTGAGGCCTGACTGTTCATTTCAATTTAAGAGCACCATATAAATCCTTAACTATATCTATTACCATTCACCATGCTAGAACTTTCCAAGTACAGTGAATTGCCATTAATTTAGACTAATTTTTGAAGAAGCTTTAGTATTTGGTTTTTGTTTTATGAAAGGCATTTTTACTTTTTCACTACACATGTAACTAAGTCCATTCTTCGAGAAAGGTTTTTATATTATGTACCTTAATGAATGATAGAAATGATTCAGCAAAATTATCATATACAAATAAGGTTTCTTATGCTTTGGAGGACTAAAAGAAGTTTCTGTGGTCTTTATGTTTTTAATAGCATCACTCTTAAAGCCCTTGATGAAGAGAAGCTGCTTTAAAATTTACCCTATTCCATTTATATTATTCCAAAATAAGAGTTAAAATTTAGAGATTTCATGGTACTACTATTGTAGGATTCAGTCCAGGTTACTAAAAATTGGAGGTGAGTGTAATAATAAAGAAGTTGTTTCTGTGACCAAGGAGTAATAACTGAACTCTCTGCTCTGCCAACAGACCAAATCTGTGTTTGAGATTGGACTCTGCAGTAATAAAATGTTTTGCTACGCAGTTCTTGGATCCATCATGGGACAGTTATTAGTTATTTACTTTCCTCCACTTCAGAAAGTTTTTCAGACCGAGAGCCTAAGTATACTGGGTAAAGGAAATATTATCTTTATAATTTATATATTACAAATGAGCTGTATTTTCTAATGCATTTGTTCTAAGAAAAATTTTCTTCTAAAAAGTGAAATAAGTGGCTTGCTTTGAAAAATGTGTGTGCTCTGTTTTCTCATTTGGAAATGTTTAGGGGAGTCACTCTCCCAACTCTAGGTTTTAAACTTTTTTTGTAATTTTTTTCTTGTTAATTTTTTATAGGTTGTCACTTGTCAAAATCATATTTGGTGATTCGAAAGATAGCAAATCAAAACGTGTTACAGAGTAATTGTAGTTTATAACTTTTTAATCTTGTATGAAGAAGAAATTAGACTTAAGCTCACTGAAAACCAAATGGCTCTTCTTTAAAATTACCATTTTGATTGTTAAACTAATATTTTCCTATTCTTATTTGCTAATTTGCATATTCTTATTTTATGAAATAACAGCCCTAATAGCAGAGAGTTTTATTAAGCTGATGTGAAGACAGTCATTATTATTTCACAGACTGTGCATTAAATGCATCACCATACAGTACATTTAAAAGTTAATCTTCCTATGTAAGTGTGAGAACGGACGCATTTTATGATAATGCTAGTTCTGATTCTTGGGTTTTTAAAGGTAATTTGGATATTTATGAATCACTGTATTTTTTGCTGTAAGTTAAAGTTTACCTTAGAGTTGAACTAGTTTAATTTCAAGATTTTAATTTCGTATTCATATTCCTTCCTCTTTAAAAAAACATGGAGTTTTAAGGAGGCCGGTGCAGTTGTTTGAAGCAGTATAAATAAGAACGAGATAGTGTGGATACCATTGTAAAGATATGGTCTTTAAACAGTGACTTTCAAGTGGAATAAGATGCAGATTTCTAAGTAATCTTCAGATAGACATTTAAAAAATCAAATTAGTCACCACTGCTTGAAGAGCCTTTAAAAAAGGCTGTGTGATCTATTAAATAGAAAACTCCTCTAGTGTTGCTGTTGTTAAAGGTTGTGGTTCTCGGTTATGGTTCAGGGGAAGCAGTCAGAGGAGTTGAGTTCTAGTTCTCTGGCTGCTGCCTGTCCTAGGTGTGTGACTTAGATAAGTCATTTAGTACCTTTGAGCCTTACTTCCCTTATTTTTAAACTGAGGCCGATTGTGGCTACTTTGTGGAATGGTTGAGAAATAATGTATTTTAAAGGCTGTGGTAAAATGCTAGAAAAACATAAGTTATTAAGCTCTGCAACTGGAAGTTTAAAGAATTGTAAAACCCAACTTACTTTCTCTTGCAGATTTGCTCTTTCTTCTGGGTCTCACCTCGTCAGTGTGCATAGTGGCAGAAATTATCAAGAAGGTTGAAAGGAGCAGGGAGAAGATCCAGAAGCCTGTTAGCTCGACATCGTCGTCTTTTCTTGAAGTATGATGCATATTGCATTCTTTTACTTGCAAACTAGGAATTGCAGTCTGAGGATCATTTAGAAGGGCAAGTTCAAGAGGATAATGAAGATTTGAGAACTTTTGAACTTTTTATTGACTAAAAATGAGTGTTGAAGACTTGATTTGAGACTTTAACCTGCTGACAGTCCCAAATGAAATTATGCAACTTTGATAACATATTCCTTGATTTAAATTGGCTTTTGCGATTGAGTGGAACTTCGTAAAGTGTATGGGCAGTTATTTAATTTAAAAAACAGGCAAAACCTGAACCACCTTCTGCACTTAAAGAGGTCTAACAGTTCAAATACACAATCTATCCTAGATAAATATGATTTTTTTTAATTTTTAAATATTGTACTATTTATGGTGGTGGGGCTTTCTTACTAATACACAAATACATTTAATCATTTCAAAGGCATTCTGTTTGGTTTAGAAGTTGATTCCCAGGAGTGCCATATTTCAGCTACTGTATTTCCTTTTCCTGCAGTGTAAGCAGCTCAGCTACCTTGTGTCACCATTTCTGTTATCTCAAGTGTTTTTGCACAGGATGTGACCACTGTCAGATCACTGTTCTTTTCTTTCTTTTTGTGATTGAAAAGCTTATACTGCAATTTGAAGTAAATGTTTGCTTTCCTTAGTAAGTGTAAATGGTTGCCTTTTCTTTTTCTTCTTCTTTTGGTTTTTGGTATGAGCCTTTAGTCTAGCACAGTTAATACAGGGCTGTGGAGTGGCATTCTAGGTAGGGTAGCCATGTCTGTAATTAACACTTAGTCATGGAGTCAAAAAAATTTAAGACTGGTTGGGCTGATATTTATAGCAGGTGATGTTAATGTGTTATGCCTTCTTTTAGAGTTAAATATCAATACATACTTTGTCAAGCAGCACCTTGACAAAGTCATCTCCTAAATATAAATCTAAGTACCTCACCTGAATATCTGAATTTTATTACTTTTTAATATCTTTTTATGTGTACTTAAAAAAATCTTTCTTACGAAGTATAGAGTGGTAAACTTAAAGAATAAAAAAAGCCCCAAACCTAAACAGATGGTTTATGAAGCAGAGTTTAAGTGGAAGATTCTGTGCTGACCTTTACTCTTTGTGTATCTGCAGCTTTTGGGCTTAGGTTGCAGCACAGCCTGGAGCCTGCCCCTCTCCTGCTTCCACCATTGTCCTCTGCCTTGTTCTGCTTCACTGGGCGTGCTAGAGAAATAGATAGATTTGCTCTTGGAATGCCATCAGTTTTTGTAATAGCTGGATGAGGTACAGGTAATTTGCTTTGAGTGTGTGGCAAATTTGGGCCAGAAATTCAAAATTAGAAATACATTTTCCTGTTGAATATTTCTCTCTGAAACAGAAACGGGTCTCAAATTCTTACATGTTTAATTCTTCCTGAAGTTACTGAATTTTGCATTTTATAATTAATTTTTTAAACTGTCAGGATAAATCGCTCTCTAGTTTTTACCACCAATATTAAACTGCACTGTTAGCACTGAAGTACTGTTGTTAACGATAGGAAAGATACCTATTCTTTGAGTCTTGTTACTGAAACAGTTTAATATAAGGACCTGAGATATCTGCAGTTTATTCTGCTTTACTCTTTAAGGCTAGATAGTCAAATGTACATGGAAACCATTGTCTAATCAGCTTTATCTTTAATGATGGTGATGTATCATACCTAAGTTTTGTAATGAGTTTTCTTCTCTGTTACAAGGACTTGAAATATGAAGTGCACGTCAATCTTTTGCTTTGCATTTTAGGTTCAGAGTATGACTCATATGAAATAAATGTGCCTATCGTATTGTTCAGATTTTAAACCTTCCCCCAGAATGATTTATTTTCATAAGTTAATGTTCTTCCAGTTGGGACTGTTCACATTAAAATCATATGGATGTTGAAGATACAGAAATTAGGCAGTACTCACAGTACATTGAATCTGTGATTTAAAAAGAAGTGAAATGTATGGTTCAGATATACTACATCTGTATAACAGATTTCCCATAGTAAAACAACAAATTAGGGTCTGTGTGTGTAGTTTACATAGCATATTATCAGAATTAGCATGGATAAATCAAATGCACTGGTATCTAAATTTAAAATTTTTCCCCATTTCCTGGCCCTGGGGCTTGCTAGAGTCCCTAACAATACTAACTTATGTGATTTTTTTCCCTGTTAGACTACCTCATGAAGTTTTTTGACTTCAAAGTGATTAAATATCAGGGAAGAAAAGGAGCTTTAATTCACCAACTAGGTAGATAATCCTCAAGTGATTCATACTGGCAGCAGAGGAACAAGGCTTAACATGTTCTCTCAGATTTTTGCTGGGCATTTCATGACCCAGAAATGGAACAGCCTGAAACCAGGCAACCTAAAAAACCTACCCCCTCAGGACACAGACTTCATTTAATAGCAGTAACCACACCCACAAGGGTAAAACACATTTTTTACCTTTCATACCCATGCAAGGTACATCTTTTACATTGGTAATCTTTGTGAAGTCATTTCAAGTTTTGATCTCTTTCATACAGTACCTAAGTAAAGTGAGCACTGGCCGTATAACAGCTTCTCAGTGAAATGAATTGGTGGCAAACAATAAATATAAGATCTAAGAACCTTAATTAACTTTACCTTGCTTTCTGCCTTTGTCACTTGGCAATTCGTGCATTTTACTTCTATGTGTGACTCACTCAATTTAAATGGATGAATTAATTATCATTTCAGTAAACTTTTCTTTAGTACCTAGAATGTACTAGGAATAGAAAAGTGGTGGCATCCCTGCCCTTCAAGAGCTCATGGACTGTGTGTTAGCTGAGGATGTAACTGTTAACAGGCTGTCTGTTGAAAGTTAGTAGTGGTCTTTGCACATTTATTTTAAAAATACACATACAGTAAAATGAGTCCAGCACACATTTTACTGGAAGTTTCCCTTGAGATTGGCATTTGGAAATCTTTGAAATGCCTTTTTAGAGTAAGCTGCAATCCAAATAGTAGCTGATTTGCATACTAGAACACGGTGTGGATAAATGTTAATCCTAACTGGTATGTTACTAGACAGATTATCCTGATAATTAAGCTTCTTTGAGATCAGTTAGCACTTGGTATGACTATTAACTTTTGTTCGGTTTGGGGGTTTGGTTTTCAGAGTTAGTTATTGTTAATAATGGATAATGGTTAACCAATCCTTGATATTAATGTAGGTATAATAGTCTGCAAATATTTTGGTAGGTTTAGATTTGGGAAGTTCTCAGTCTTAACTCTGGAAACCAAAGTGAAATGTATGTGGTACAGTGGTAAGTGCTGCCCCAAGTGCTGCAGTAGCCAAAGGAGAGAAATAGCTTCATAGGAGGAGGTTGTCAAATTTCCTAGAACTAGTGGCATCCGAATCAAGCCTTAAGTTGAGAATCTCCAGCCGAGAACAGCAGGATATTGTAACCAAATGGCATAGCCTCTGCAGAGGCGTTGGTGGCGTCTGGAAGGAACAGGTGAAAACCACAGGAGTCTGGGGCTAGGGCAAGGAGAGTATATATAATGTGAGGGCTGGACAGATAGGCAGGAGGAGCCTAGTGGTGAAGGTAAAGACATTTAGCTTGTAGCCTGCTGTAGGATTTCAAGACTGTGATAAGAGTTTGGATTTTTGTCTTGTAACATGCTGATGGAAGCTCAGAGGGTAGACTGTCAAGACAAAACAGAGAGACTGATTAGAGAATTGTAGAAGCTTAAGAGGTAGAGGGACTGAGTTGTGGCAGTTAGTATGGAGCGAAAAACATGGGATTTCTGTCTTCTAAGAGAGAGCATTGACATGACCCGATGGGAGGAGAGGAAGATACTGCAGCTTCTGGCTTTCTGGCTTGGCTACTAGAGCTGTTGGGAGAATTACCAGAGCCAAGCAGCTTTTAGTGGGACACAGGTCAATTTGAAGTGTGAAGTTTGTGATGTCCTTTCCCAGTGGATATGTTGGATGAGGTTTCTAGCACAGAATGAATTAAAGCCATGGCTGACTCATTATGAGGTAGTAAGAAAATATTAATAATTTCTTGTTACAAGCATCGATTTTTAAAATTTTTGATAAAAGTAAACCAATAAATGAATGTAAACTCAGCTTTGACAGAGTAAGATTTCTTTTAAAGTAATTTCTTTAGTATAGTTATTAAGAATTTATGGTAGGCAAGTAGAAAACAATGTTGGTTTTTTTTGTTTCCATTTTACTCATAATTCTTCCTTGGATCTTTCTAGCCTCATATGTCACACATGATGTTCCAACACAATCCGCTTACTGGTGTTTTTGGACAGTATTCCTTCAACTTGAAATACTTTTTCCTCTGTTTCAATTTGAGAATCAGAGTTTTTAACCTGTTCTTCAAAGTCCAGCTGAAGAGCCAACCAGGATGGCCTTTCCAGGTAGCTCTAAAGGTGCATGTGTCTGTGTGTGTGTGTGTGTGTGTGTGGCGGGGGGGTGGGTGGGTGCAGTTTCTTGTAAATACTGTTAAGAATAAATGCAGCTGTAAGTTTGGGCATAAAATTGTGGGATTTTATTTCTTAGAAAGCATTAAAATTTTAAGTCCAAGCCATGTAGGTGATACATCTGGACAGGAAATCTGCTATAATCTTCTCTTTTCATTCAAAATAAGTTGAGGTGGTGAAGTTTGGGTAGGAAAAATATTTTGAGGCTTTAGTTTTGATCCTTTGTAAGTTCTTCTCTGATCTAGACCTGCCAGCATTCCCGTGTACATGTGAGTGTGGGGCCTTCCTCTGTCTGCTCTGCTCCAGGTAGGCAGTGTTTCCTGTGCAGATCACGGGGCCTACCCGGCTCTGCCATTCCACTCCCTTTGTGTTCAAGTCTAGCCAGATTGACAGATACCCTGGCAAAGGCCCCATGTCTGCAGTGGCCCCATGGCTGTCGGCCTGGCTGAACTGCCTTCACGCATCAGTCCAGGTCACACCAGTATTTCTTCAGCAGTAATTGCACTGCTCTACTTAGGTAAGGGTAGAAACCATCTCTCACAGTATTAAGAGCACACAGTGCCAGAAATTGGGCACATTGTTCTACATGACCATAGAGGTCCATTTTTGTTTTCTGAGTGTTTCCAGTTTTTGAACTCAAAACAAAATAAGCTCTTTGATACAGGTGTTGTTTTTTTTTTTTAATACCAATTCACTCAACTGTATTAAAAGCAATTTTCTATTAAGGCTTTCCCTGTGATAAGTATAGTTAGAAGTGACAGTTTGGTGTCATCTATGGTCATAAATAAAATACCATAATGCTTTGGCCATTTACTCTTTTTTCATCAGGTCTGCATCTTAAAAGCCAATATGAAACAACTTGTGAGTCTCACAAAGTACTGTCTTTGAGCAGTATATAGCAGGCCCCAACCAGATGGCAGAAAAATGTATGCTTGATAGGAAAAACATGAAAAACTTTATTTTTAAGCATGTTCGATCGATTTTAGGGAGTTATAAATGAGTATGTCTTCATGGTCCTTTCTCATATTCATCCATATAGTTGCATAATAAGATTGCATTAGAATTTATAAGCATCTTTCTTCGTGGAACAGGTTAGATAGTCCATGAATTAGTTGGAGGTGTTACAAGTTAGGGAAACAGCTTATTTTAATACCTTCCTAACTTACCCACATGGGGCTGTTGATTTAGTTTTGGGGACGACAGACTACTGCCCACAAGTTTTATTGGAACACAGGTACGCACATGCACTTCCATATTGTTACCACTGTATTCATGCTGGGGTTTTACAGAAAAAAATTGCCTACTCATAGATATTCACAAAGAGCAGAATAGGCCTATGCATTGCATTCAGTGGACCAGAAAGGAAGTGGCATCGATTTTCTCTACCGTCCAGTCTCCCAGCAGGATATTCTCTCTGGGATGGATGCCACTGATACCAGATTGGCTGTCAAAGACTCAGTCTGTTCTCAGAACGTCATCAACAGGAAGGACATGCCAGCTGTTGTCTGTCCCACCTCATCACCAAGGCTCCCTCTTCCTACAGTGGGTGGGGTGTTCTGATCTGTTGTCCCATCTGAGTTGTGCTCCTCAAAACACACACACCACACACACAACCCGCCTAAGTTTCTACTGCAGAGTCTGCTCTTCTCTGATCCACCTGCCCCTCCCACCCCCTTGGATCGACAGGAGAAGTGGGGGCTTCCCTCTCATCAGTTGCTTTTTCCTGACACACAGAAACGGGTGTCGTCGTTTGTGCAGGCTTACTATCAGTCCAGTCTTAGGGAGGAACAGAACCTTCTACACCAGAACATATTTGCACAGTATTTATATTTCTAAGGTAAAGTTATGACAGTATTTCTTAGTGAATTCTCCTTGGCTGTCCAACTTATCAAAATAGCTTTACAGAATGAATTATGGTTATTATACGTAATAGGGTCAATTTCTTTGTTTAAAACAAAAACAAACACAACTTGCACAAATCTGGGAGCTTGAAGGGCTACAGTGCTTTGTGATTGGGAACTTGGATTTGTGGATGTCACCATTCCCAGATTTCAATACCAAAGGCCCCCTGCCCACCATTTTTACCTCGTTTTCCTTAGTTTTGGGGGGCAAGACAAGGGAACCTCAGAAGATTGCTCTCTTGATGCCATCCTTCCTAGAGTCTTCAACTATACAAACATTTCTCTGATTATAACAGTACAACATACTCATTGGAGATATTTGTAAACAGAGGAATAGAAGAGGAAAACATTTCATAATCTCAACACCCAAAGACTAATCTAGGCTCCAGACATATATCCAGCTGCCTAGCAGCTAATTTCTCAACACTTAAGCACCTAAAAGCTGTGTTTAACATATCCCCAACAGAACCCCCTGGTTCCCTCATTTCCCCGCTACACCCCATCCTACACAAATGAATGACAACTGAATAGGAAATCTGAAAACAGAGGGTTCTTTCCAGTCTTTTAATGAAAGCATAAAATGCTGTTTTTAGCAATTTTAGCAATAATTTGTAGTGTTTCTCATTGGTATGTTTATAAACCCTATTTTTTTTAGAGTAATGTTAATATGTATTTACTCAAAGGCTTCCACGTCAGAGCAAGTTCACCTTAATAGGTAGATTAATCCACATCCTCCATTATGAAGTAGAGCTCATTACTGTGTATCCATGACAGCAAGCATTGAGACTGAAGAGTAGACTTGTATTTCCTGTCAACATCCTTTGATTTATTCCCCCATTACGAGGAAGACACATGAACCAGACACAGGAAGATATGGGGGGAGTGATGGCTGGATACACACATGGCCGTTTTTCAAGAAGAACCAGCACTTCAGTTAATCCTCCAAGAAGCGCTAATTATATGTATCAACACACCCGGAAAGTTTTCCTAATCTTGTATGCTAGCTCATGCGATGGTATTGGGTTGGCCAAAAAGTTCGGGGCCAACCCAATGTTTTCACAGAGTCAAATGATTCAGTCTCATAAAGTATCAAAAATCCAGTATTGAAATATTCTGATTGTTTCATTTTGTTTTTTGCAAAAATATTCCTAGGTATTCCTTGATCCTCATGACAGTGGGTTACGTTGTACACAGAAATCTCCAAGTATCTCCTAAAGTGGTAATGAGAAAATTTCTTAAAATATGTATGATTTAGCTGTTTTAACCAAAGATTTAGCTTTATTAACCAAATACCTAAAATGTTACCTATTACTAGTTAGGACTAAAAGTGATTGTATGTGGGGGAATTCCCTGGCGGTCCAGTGGTTAGGACTCAGCACTTTTACTGTTGTGACCTGGGTTCAGTCCCTGGTTGGGGAACTAAGATCCCGCAAGCGGCACAGCAAGGCCAAAAAAAAAAAAGGTGATTGCATGTGCACTGCAACATGTTCATGTGAAATTTCTCTCCCTGAACACTGAATCCAGTGAAACTAGCTGGAACACTTTTCCGTGTATTACCTCTTCATTTCTTTCTCCCATTACAACAGACTGGTATGCTTCCTGAGGGAAGTCCATGCCTTTGAAGTTTAAAACGTTCTTCCTCAGCATGAAGTTCTCATCTTAGAATTTTTACAGCTGGATGGGCTTCAATTTTTTTTTTTTTTTTTTTTTTTTTTTTTGCGGTACGCGGGCCTCTACTGTTGTGGCCTCTCCCGTTGCGGAGCATAAGCTCCGGACGCGCAGGCTCAGCCGCCATGGCTCACGGGCCGGGACACGAACCTGCGTCCCCTGCATCGGCAGGCAGACTCTCAACCATGCGCCACCAGGGAAGCCCACGGGCTTCGATTTTAGCATTATTTAGACCTGGAAAGAAATGCCAGAGCAACGTATCCTGTATGGTTCAGAAAGCTGTTGCTTCAAGTGGAGAGGCATCTTTTTAATACATCTGTCCAAAAGAAATAGTATTTCATTTCAAAGTGATACAAATACAGAAGCATTTCTAGCTGCCTTGACTGAAATGCACCAATGAAAGACATTATGAGATAAATACCGAGTACCCCACAAACACTGCCCTAAGAATACAAGGTCACTATCTCTGGAGTGAAAGTTTGTCCTCTTACAGAAGTGGAATTATTTCTCCTGGTCTTAGGAGTGACTGCTTGCTGGATGCTGCTTGGGTTCATGGTGTGCCAGCCAGCCAAATAGCATGTGCTAGAGAGCAGTGCCCAGTGAACTCTGGAAACCTCACTACTGGGGAGACCGTGTTTGGTTTCCTTAGGGTTATGGGGTAGGGCCAGGATATAACCCGTGCAGCTGCAGGAAGAGGTAATACCTGCTCTTAATTTTCTCCTGTCTCTAAACATATTCCAAACTCTTTCAAATTGGGTTTAAAAACACTACAGAAAATTCCTTGATAACAAGAAAAAAGGACAAGAGGGGCAAAGTGCTCACACAGGGCTAGTTCCTTCTGGTCTTTATTGTTTCCTGAGGTTGAGCTTGGCTGCCTGTTCACACTCTCCTGGCACTTCTCCGCTTTTCAGTGTGGCTTCAGCCTGGCAACTCTGCTAAAGCTGCTTTAATGTTCTCACATTCTTGCCCTTCTCATCTCAGCCATATTTAATAGTGTTGACCTGCTTTGCCTCTGCAAAATTCTGCCATGAGCTCTGGCAGCCACTGGTCTCACGGTGCCTTATGTTTCTGCCCAGCACCCTCACTTCTCCCAGATCCCTTGCTTTGCTCTTGGGCTTATGTGTGGATGTAACAACGACTGTCATTTATGGCATGTTTTTAGTGCCAGCGACTGTTCTAAGTAACTTAAAATACATGTCATTTTATCCTTAGACAACAGCTTGAATTATTCTGATCCCTATTTTACAGATAGGGTAACTGAGGCATAGTCGCTGATTCATTTATTTTATGCACAAAGGAGGAAAAGATAATTGTAAGATCTTTCTAGCTATAAAGGTCTTTATCTTCTAAAACTGTAATTAATTTGAATTAGAAATCCAAATGCAAATACTGAAATTAATTTGAATTCTTTTTTGTCATAATTATTATGAAAGGCCTTTAGAATTTATATTTATAGGATGTACATATTCAACTTTCCAGGTCCAGGTATCTCAAAAAGGACTTGTACAAGTAAAAGCTTAATCACAGCCTAACACAGAAGATTACATTATAGTGTTCTTCTCTCTCCAACTTTATTCCTAAAATTTATTGATCTTCGGTGTCCAGAGTTCTTTTTGTTACTTAAATTGCTAATTGAAGACTTAACATCCCCAAAGACTCAGGTGAGATTTCATTAGCTAGAACTGAATCAGAAAGAACAAGGTTTAAAGACTTGATTAGAAAATGAAACAGGTTTTCAAAGCTGGGACACTCTACACACGTGCTCCATACTGCCTCCTGTACCTCATCCCAATCACATCCCTTTCTCTTAAAGCCAAGCTCAAAAGCCATGTCCGAGAATCCTCTGATTTAGCCTCGTCGTCCTTGGGACTGCTGTCTCCTGATTATATAGCCTTCAGTCTGCAGTTTGCCATTTGCACCTGATGGATTGCATCATAAAATGTTCTCTCATTATTTCGTTGTTTTACCTCCCCAAACAGCTTACACAAGCATGAGTTTTGGGGGTTGGGTACTGTGTCCTGTTTCTTTGGTAAACCCCCTCAGATGTCTTGTGGAGTGCTTGCAACCTCTTGCTTAATATATACAGGAGAAGATATATACTGGGGTAGGTAACTTCACTGAATTCTCAGAGTAAGAGTTAATGGACATTCGATTTTAACTCCTTTACTGCAAAGCTGGGTAGTTTCAAGTGAATGGCCCTGCCCGATTCCAACAGTTAGAGAAAGGAACCTGTTTTCTTATGACTACTGAATGAAGGCCCCTTGGCTTGAAAAATTCCTGTTAATGAAAGAAAAAGGTGAATGATATAATTCAATTGACTTTAAATTCTATAGCCCTACACTCTTCAGTTTGGTGCCTATCAATCAAACCAGTCACTTGGCAATGTGGAACTGGGAAGGAATAGTGTTTCATGCAAGGCTGGTGATTTTTTTTTTAATAAGTATATTCTTTTAAAAAAGATAAATTTATTTATTTATTTTTGGGTGTGTTGGGTCTTCGTTTCTGTGAGAGAGCTTTCTGTAGTTGCGGTGAGCCGGGACCACTCTTCATCGCGGTGCGCGGGCCTCTCACTGTTGTGGCCTCTCCCGTTGCGGAGCACAGGCTCCGGACGCGCAGGCTCAGCAGCCATGGCTCAAGGGCCCAGCCGCTCCGCGGCATGTGGGATCTTCCCAGACCAGGCCTCGAACCCGTGTCCCCTGCGTTGGCAGGTGGACTCTCAACCACTGCGCCACCAGGGAAGCCCAAGGTCGGTGATTTTATAAAGCAGTGTGGATGAGCCAGGAAATAGGACATTCATACTGGTATAATTTCCAGATTGGCCCCCAGCTCCAGGAATCAAGGAAGACAATTTTGATACAAAGATCTTACATGCTTATAGTCCCCATTAGATCCGTTATTTGCTGGAAAAATACGTGTCTTCTCAAAAATCGATGCATATGACTGCTCTTTTCTTGATTCTTCTGGGAATAACCATCTCTTTAGAGATGAAAACAACCTTACTGTGAAGCCCCATGCACTCTTAAACAAAAATTTTCTTATTTCAAAAACTCTTATATGAAACAGAAGCCAGTCTTTTAGGCTTGAAAACTTTAGGAGCCTGTGAGGTTTTGTTTTTGCCTTTTGTAAATGGCTAAAGCCAGTTAGCCCTTGGGAGGTTTGGGCTTAGTATGGTATGGTACCTCTAGGAAAGTGCAGAGAGTTGCTTACCAGACGTTAATTACTGAACACAGGCCTGCTCAAAAAATAGCTGAAAACCACATTTAGCTGCTGATGGAATGTATCAGTGAGAGAGAAGAAAGGAGGAACACAATTTGTACGAATACATAAAAAAATGAAGGTTGGAGTGTACTTTCAGATCTTCATATGTTGCCCAAATATATTCATTCCACTTGCTTTTCTATTTTCAAGTTCTTTATTTGGAACTGGCCGTGCCCTCACAGTTCTGTAACAGGTGTTTGTAATGTTAGTAGCCTCAGTGTGTTCCAGAGCAGTGCTTTTCAAAGTCTTGACTGCAGTCCACAGTAAGAAATAACACTTTGCACAACCATCTAAGCTATGAAATGCATATCTGATATATTCCATTTAAAAATGCTGGTTATGACATCAAATTAATTGCACATCCCATTAATTGGATGCTGTTTCTTCTTTTGTTGGGACCATTACAGTTTCAATTTCTTTTCTAAAAACTGGAGCACATAGGGCTTCTCTGGTGGTGCAGTGGTTAAGAATCCATCTGCCAATGCAGGGGACACGGGTTCGAGCCCTGGTCTGGGAAGATCCCACATGCCACGGAGCAACTACGCCTGTGCGCCACAACTACCGAGCCTGCGCTCCGGAGCCCGTGAACCACAACTACTGAAGCCCATGCACCTAGAGCCAGTGCTCCACAACAAGAGAAGTCACCACGATAAGAAGCCCGCGTACCACAACGAAGAGTAGCCCCCGCTCACTGCAACTAGAGAGAGCCTGTGCGCAGCAATGAAGACCCAACACAGCCCAAAATGAATAAACTAAAAAAAAAAAAAAATTAAAAGAAATTAAAAATAAGTAAAATAAAAACTGGAGCACATCTAAAATGCTCATCAGCCCTGCCATGGGCTCTTTGACAAAGTACTTAAAGGTCTCCTTTTCTGTCTGGCTTCCTCACGTCTATCTTCTGGGGCCCAGACCTTTCATAATAAAGGATGAAGAGGAGATGATAGTTGTAAAAAAGTTGTGTTAAATGATGATAACCCAGCTTCAGCTTATAGGAAGTAACTGATGTAGGACTTCTGTTCTTTCTGAAAACATAGCTTGGCTGAGTTGCCACAATTTGAAGGTTATAGACTATTATTAACTTACTAAAGTGGAACATGGCAAGTGCAAACATGTTTTCTTTCACGTGTTGAAAAAATACAAAAGTTTACTTAAACCACGTATTTATTAAAAGCAGAATACAAAGTACTTTGGAATTCAAAATACTGCAGTGTTTATCCTTTAACAGATTTAATTCTAAAAAAAAGTCAGTCATTTCAAGGGAGGTAATACAAATTTTCGGTAAGAATCCCAATCTGGTTGCAACT